CCATAAAACTAGTTTAGATTAGATTTCATTCACCGTTCCCCGACAGTTTCCGCAGTTTTTTTTTTCATCTGAATGCACAGAATCGAAGCGCCAAACAAGCGCATAAACTATTCCATTCATCAAGTGGTGTCGGTTTTTGAATAAAAATCTACACGATAGAATTTCACCGATAAACCAAGTGTCTTAATCGATAGCAAAGGCAATGGCGCGAGCACACCGTCGGCATTTTCAATTATCGACAATTATTGCCGTGAGTGTGTGTATGTGTGCAATGCAACATTATCGCACCTCTGGCACATATAAGTGATTCTGATTACATTTAAGTGCACTTTATATAGCAAACAAAAGGCGAATACCTACTTGTTCAATACCGCTCGCGTGTGTGTGTGTGTGTGCATGTCTTTTGTCGATTGCAGCACGTCTCGGATAATCATTGAGATTGAATTACGATCCTTTGCTTCGTTTCGCCTATCTCACGGCTGTATTAAAGCACACAACGCAAAAAGTAAGCAAACGAGAGAAGAAATCAAAGTCATCCGTAGCGAGACTACTTAAATTGACTACATACTATATACATTGAATTGCTCAACCGTTCATACCAAACATTGATCATTGTACACGCGCCTATTTTGCCACATAACAAACTCATAGTCGCGATCGTGCATCGGCATTCATTCATTTAGTCACACATTATCTTTTCATTGCTTCTCTATGCTCTGTGATCGTTTATTTTTCGAATTCATACTACACAATGCCGATGGATTTTGAAACGGTTCTGAAAAGAAGAAAGGAATTTCAACTAGAACTTTAAAAATTAAATGTACTCGACGGTAGACGAGAGCGAAAAAGAAGAAGAAGAAGAAAAATGAAGAGACGAATCACGGTGTAATGCGGATTTCATGATATATACATACCGAGATATTTTATGGTTGTTTTCCAAATACGAGATATCCGACTATGAATGGTCTTCACTTGATAAACACTGTGCTCATACGAAAATCCAGATTTTCATTCGCAAAAAGTCAAAACCATTCGATTCATTGTATGAGCATTTTCTGCATAGGTCAATCATATTCACTTTACGCCTTTTTGTAAATGGATTGGCTTTTGTTATGAGTGCTCGCGACCACGGCATAGTATGCAATCAATTTGTGCAATATGCTTACAATGTTATTTCAGTTATTCATTTTCTTTTTGTTCGTTCAATGTTGTTGTTGTCTTCATCCTTGTTTGTTTCCCATTGATTCATTTTTGCTGGTGTATAATAATAATAATATTGTGGCGCGACCGTGTTTTTGGCCGTGAATTGATGTACATTGCACACATTGTGCAAATGCTAAGTGCTTGCAGAAGTTGTGCACTGTGCAAAGATGCATATTTAATCGTGCAATGAATTCATTAACTTAAACCGATGATTAGCATCACCGTGTCAGCATCATCAGCATCATCACTACCGCCAGCACTTTGACCAATCACTCCCATAATAGTTCAACATTTTAAAATATTTTGTACGCCATAAATTCTGATTGAAAATGAAAAAAAAAAGAAAAGAAAGATACAACAAAAAACCACCGGTGTTCGGTCTCATTCGCCAGGGCAAAAATAAACTCTTTCAATTCAAAGAAGGTCAAAAGAATCTCTCTTTTTAACAACATAATATAATATAATTTATGACAGATCAAAACTTAATGCGCTTCGTGTATTTATATTTCTTATGGAAATATGTCTTGCCGCGACCGCAATCGCGCACAAGAATTGCGAAGAAAACAGAAAACGGCAAAAAAGCTCGTTTTTACATGATCATCATACCATCGAGTCTGCATTCTATTCAATGCCACAGCCCCATAGATCAATGACGACAAAATGCGTGCTTCTTTGTGTTTTGCTCACACTTCGGCTCTGTCTCGTTCGCTTGTTGCTTTGCATTGTTTTAGAATCATTTCAATGTGCGCGAAAAAAAAAATCGGATATTCTCCTGTAAAAATGCATCTATTCACGCACATTGGAATTTCACAGCGACCGATTGGATTGTTCGTGTATTTTGAAGATTTCGATACTCAACATATTCTCATTAGCGCGATATTCGAGATCAGTGTACTTACGCGCACGCACAATTGATTCACATTCTTGATCTTATGTTTCGCCATTTCCAACAAGCGCTTTTATTGCCTACAAATGGATTCAATGCCATTTAATCATCGTAACACATTTAATTGCACTGTTCACAACAAGAACAATATGTAGCAATTAAAAGAATTCAATCGGCATTCTTTCGGCTGGTAATCGCATACATACCGAGTATAAAAACCAATGCAGAACAACAACAAAGAGAGATGTTACTGATTTTGTTCTCACACTATGTTTAACGACACCCACGCTGTGTATCGTATCAAACAAGATGCGCATAAAAGACGATGAGGGTTTTTCGTTTTTGTTCCAAAAAGCAACAAAAAAAAACAACGACGACGAAACAACCAATTATTAACTGAATTTCGCCTGAAAGCGAAAATGTTCCAAATCTTTATCATTAAAATGCTCGAGATTTGTTGTTGGTCGCAAAAAAGCCGTGTCCAGCGTCTAGGTAAATGCAAATCGACCTTTGAATTTCGTAGAATTCCAAAAATTTTGCTTTAAAATCACATCCGCTGATAAGATATCAGTCATTAGGTGTATGTTTTTTGTTTGCATCATGTTGTTCGTGTGGCTCTCGTCTCTTTGAATTCGTCGCTCACGTGTGTTGTTCGTTGGTTTTTTTTTTCGTTGCAAGATAAAACGTTGGTGTCCGATGTTGAGTAATCTGCATGCGATCATAAAAAAAAAAGTTGCATCTTCAATTTGGTGCGCCGGTGTGATTTGTGTGTATTTGTTGTGGTTTTTGACGAAAGCGAACATCTCGCCACAAAACAGTAAATCGAAAGAGTTCCACACACACGGCATGCATGCGCCCTGGATATATCTCTCTGGATGGAACATTTTCTTCATATAATGGCCAGTAATCAAAATGGTAAATTAACCAACGAATGAGAGAAGGTATCCGAGAAAAAAAGAAAAGAAAATATCCGAGCAAACACAACAAGCCAAGAATTGGCTCAAGGGCCCGCATATTAAAAAGCGAAAGCAAACGCCAGTTAACATCCATATGCGAGAGCCAAAAACAAAACAAGAAGTACACAGACACAAAAATTCAACATAAAAAGAGACAGATAGAGCGGGAGAAAGAGGGAGCAGAAAAAAATATGAATTAATAAGAGACCTTCCCGTGCGACGGCGAACAACAGAGGCGGCCCTTAACCAGGTATTTTCATCGCGAATTCACTCTCGATAAGTTGATGTGAATATTGCCATTTTTTCTCCTCGGTCGGAAGATGCCAAATGATTTTTCGCATATAATTCTTCGATGAAGCGTGGAGTGTCCACCGATATGCGTTCGTGTGCGCCCAAAACTCTATCGACGTGAAAATACTGCCATTCGACCATTTCTACCGATTAAGCGCACTGATTTTCTTCTTCTTCAAAAAAAAAAATTACAATCGTTGTGTGTTCGCGGTATTATTTCAACCTCTCTCCCTCTTTCTCCATCTATCTCTTTTTCCTCATTTAAAGTTCAATTTTTGCTATTGTCTTTATGTGTTTTTTTTTTATCTGGGACCCTTGGTTACGACTTGAGGCTTTTAATATTCGTCTATGTGCGCTTTGCGTTTCGCAACGAGCGAGGAGTGCATACAGAAAAACTGCACACAATGATGAAAAGACCGTTCCATTTAGTATGTATGTATATATTTACACATCATTGATCGAGGTCAAATTCTTGGAAATTGAATGCTGTTTTGTGTTTTGTGTATTGCTGTCTGGCCAACCGAACACTCGAAAGATGAATACAGCAATCTCTCACATCAAAAGAGAAAAAGAAACCAATTCGTATGTGTCTGCGCACAAAAGTCGAATATGTTGTGTGCGAAACATTCTAATCCGTTCATCTACATTTCATGTTGTCTCTTTGGCACTGGTTGATTTGCTCTCACTTGCTCTTCGCGCCACCGATCCGTTTGTTGTTATCCTTTTTGGTGCGCTGCACTTTTTTCTTCTTCTTTGATTTTCTTTTTATGTTTTGTTAAATATTTGCGTATTTCGATTTATGTTATGGTGATGTGTGTGTGTGTGTGTGTTGCTCTCCAATTACCCTTAATCTGCCGACGATGTTAAGGACGGCCTAAACGAGGACGGTCAGTGATGATCATAAAATGCATCGGCTCCGGTTCAAATGCAAAAGAGAAAAAAAACCAGAATGAACAAAGAATTGCGTTTCGGTTTTGCGTTTGGCATTAACGAAAAAAAAAATACAGAAGAAACATGACCATCAATTCATGCGAATACCCAGAGACACTCAATAAATAATAAGCATTTTATGTAAAAAAGCGCAACAACAAACATTGAACTGGGAACCAAAAACTTGTGTGCATATGTGTGTGTGCGTGCGTGTGTGAGTGATAATAGAAATCGGCGATGATTTGGATATTGTTCGATGTGAGTTCGTGAATTGTGATACAATTGCAAAACGTCGTTCCAATTTTCGCGTGGACGCGTATTTATCGAAACCAATCAATTCAATTTAGTTAACATTTCATTGCGCGACGCTTGACTGCCTTGATGACCGCAAACAAATATGCAAAAATTGTGCTCGCTTCGCAATTCTGCATTCTTTACAAGCTTTAATTTACCATTTATGTGCCATCCTGTTTCACAGCACAGCATCCTTATTTTATTCAAATTAAATCATCGATCGACAATAAACGACACACATGAAACGAACGAATGCATTCCATTCAATTAAAAGTAGCTTAAATATATTACAGTTTGCACTGTTGATACCCACCAATTAAGGTGCCGGTTATTTCAAAATGCGCATGTTCATTGGATTTATTTGTAAATTGTTTACCTGATAAATTATTATTCAATTCAATGACTAAATTTTCGTTTTCTCCGTCTCGTCTTTTTTGCAGCAATGGGAATTGATTGTATTGAACAAGTTGAAATGGAATATTTCATCGGTGACTCCATTGGATTTCTTAGAGCATTTATTAGTACGTTTACCCATCAATAAACAGCATACAGATGTCAGTAAAATCAAAAAGCATGCTCAGGCCTTCATCTCATTGGCAGCCAGAGGTAAGTTTTTCATTTTGTTCTTCATTCTTTTTTAAATCATAAATAAACCGTGTGATTTTCATTATCGCAGCAACAATGTTGCATAAATGGAATTATATCAATGAAAATGAAGTCATCAATCCTTTTTGGTGCACGCTAATGTACAGCCCATCATTCATGCTCACTTCATGGTGAGAATGAATTCATTTTTGTGCCGTTTCATTTTATCCTTAAATTTTTTTTTCGTTCGAATTTAATTGCCGACGTCAAAAGCAACTGTCAAAATCATTGTAAACACACTACACCATCATGTCTTTTACAAGTTGATTGAGTGATATGAAATTTTGAATGCAACACCAGTCTCGTTCGCATGCAAAAAAAAAATCCCTATCCCGAAGTCTTTTTTGTTCGATGTGATTGTCATTAAGCGTGAATAAGAGCAGAAAAATGTACACACAAAATGGCCATGCCCGAGTGAAATGGCGAGCGTATGATTCCATTAATTGAAGTGAACATCATCATTAAAGACAAAAACGCAGTTGAATGAAGAAGCTGACAGCTAAAATGTATCATCGCATTGATTTACTCTTCTGCTCTCTCTCTATCTCTCTTTGCCTCTCATCTCTCTTGTTATATCCCCCGTGTTAAGCTGTTTTTTGTTCACGGTAATCAATCGATCTTAGTGCATGGGCATTTGCGATCGTGTGAGAACAACAAGAGACTTTTGAAAAAAAAGAGGGGGCTTCAGTTACTTTTGGCCCATTCAAATGAAAAATCATTTCGAATTACGATGACTGTGGTGAATTTATTAGTATTGCTGATATTTTTGTTACCTCCACCGTGGCAATTCAAAAGTGCTGCTTACAAACCAAAGTGTTGTTTTCATTTCAACATTTTTATCATTATCATATTACGTTTTTTTCTCAGTTCGGCACTTTGGTTATATATATATATATATTTTGTTGTCTGTGTTCGAGATTGTGGCCGCAGCTTGTCTCACAAGATGAATGCCACAATTACAACGTGTGCTGTAAGCCACGCAAACGAATCAATAAATGTACATAAAAAGCGGAAATGATGTATGAAAACATGGGCACTGCCACAGCAAAATATGATGAGAACATATAAATATGATTTGTTGCCTGCAATTGGAATTATGCGTAAACAATTCTTTTTTTTTCTCGTTGAGCTTTCACTGGTGATATATGCGTTACCGGCAAATTGCCTGCGCAAAATGACGAAAGCCAGACGATTTCTCGAAATTGTTACTTTTCAGGTTTGAATAGCGACAAATCAATTTCGATTGAGTGGAAGGAATAAAAATCAATCATGGAAATACCATATATTTCAACTGTGAAATGCGCCCGCGCACACACTCCAATTGGAGTGCATACAGACTGAAAAAGAATGCAATTAAATCGCTCATTGGCTACAAATGAAAGACGAGAAACAAATGAAGAAAGAGGTGGAGCGGTACAGTGGATATTTGCCATTGTAAGACGAGAGTTGCAAATCAACACAACACAACTTTTGACCGAATAAAATATGTGCACGATAAAAACTGGCCAAAGATTTAATGCGGTTGCATGTGATTTTCTCGCTTTTTGAATAATTTTAATTCTGGCCGGTTGTTGCGCTCGGTTTTTTTTCTTCTTCCTCACAGTGCATTGCGAATGACCATTGCTGAATAGTCTTTGTGTGCATTATCGCCGATGCGAGATGCAATTCACTACTCCTTTTTTAACTCTTGCTCTCTGTCTCTTTCTCTCTTTTACACAACATAAGAAAAGTCGAAAAGAAACTACAAGGTTAAAGAGGGACTGAGGGTTGAATAAATATATTCGCACGGTTTTTATTTGGTCATTTTGATGTTATCAGCTCTCTTTTTTTTCCTTTTAAACAACTATCTGTGCTGGTGCACGTGCGTATGTATGTGTACCTATATGTGTGTGTTCGTTGGCATATTCGCGCGTACAATTCGTCTGTTTCATTTAGTATTTCTTCAATATAATTTTTTTTTGCTTTCATATCGTTGTCTCTCTTTCGTTTCATTTTAATTCTTGATTATTTACTTTGGAGGTGCGCGAACAGAACCAAAGTGCATTCTTTGTAAGGTTGTTCGGTACAGAGATTGATTATGTGCGTATTTCGCATTCTCATATATTCGAAATTGCAATCTCTCATTCGGCAAAGAGAGTCGCATCACAAGTGGTTGTCTTTGTCAGATTCTGGTTTATGTGCAAATGCCCAAAGCCGATGAAGAAGAATTCACATTCTCATTTCGATTGTGCACCGCGATGCGAATGGAGCATTTATGAATGTCAGTCGTCGTCGTCGACAGTATACCGCATACGTAATTAATTTGCGATATTTGCAAAATATTACACGGCATTAGTATGCCTCAATGGCATTGCCTCATCCGTCTATCTCTGTCCGTTTTTTTTTTGTGCGCTGCCTAAATGATAAAACATTTGTAATGTATTTAGTTCTTTATCGGTGTGCTTCGGTTGTCGTACCATGTGCTGGAGCGTGTAATTTTATGCGACACCAGAAGATTTTCGCTTCAAAAACCGATTTTTCGTGGCCGAAATGTTGGAATGTTGACCAAAAGACATGCGACAATTTAGTTACTTTGTTACTGATGATTGCCCTGAAATTCCATCGAAAACGTCGTTGACAAGTATGACACAGTCAATAGAAGCAAAACGAGTGCACAACAACAATGGAATGCAAGATTAAACCAAAAATCAAATTTTGCACATTCAATTGCAATTTCGTTTTACAAAAATTGAAACAATGACGGCGAAGTTTTTTTTTTTCGTCGTACTTTCTTTGTACGCGCGCACAAACGAACGATACGAATTAAAAACCTTCGGCATTTCCGTGTGCTTCATCATTTGCCACAATCAACATTTTTCACTGGTATCCTCTTACAATTTAGTGAACGTGTTCAATGAAATTCCATAGGTCTTCATAAAATTTATGAAATATTTTGGTTGGTTCAAACGAAACGAAACGAAACGAAACCAATTTTTCTATGAAATGTTCGTAATCTATTCATTGTGAGCACCTAATTATGATAAAATGCGGAGCACCATCAAAGAAAATTGATTTTTTTGGATTTAAGTCATCGTCGATTTCAAAATGCGGCAAAAATCGCAATTAATATTCAAATTTATTCGCTCAATATTCATGATTAGTATCAATAAATATTTGAAGAAAAAAATACCAAAAATGTGGACAGCAATGACAAGAGAAAAATAACTAGAATAAGAATAAATGCTTTAACGATCGAAGACGAAAAACCACAAGAATTTTTTTATCGATATTTCATGGTAAAAACGTCTTATCACACCGAGAGAACCATATGCGAGATGAGTATTCCGATTAAAAGATAATTCAATCATCGTGTAAGCAATAAGTCTTGCCTTTGTGTGTGTGCACACGGACAAAAAAAAATACTGGGAATAAAATTACTTTGTGCAATGGAATGGGCTTTACGTCTCTTGCGTGCTTTTTTTGCACCGTAGATATTTGATGACGATACTTAATTTAAATTTTCGATCGAGGTTTTTTTTTTCATTGAGTGTGCAGGCATACAATTCACCTGAAATCAAATATCCAAAAACGAGCATGTTGGCTGCTTTACAACTTCACGGATTGTTTGGCATTATTTATTGAATGATTTTGCGTATTTGTTTACTCACATGGAACAAATTAATGAAAATTATTCAAGTTTGATTGCATTCCACTTCGCGAGAGTGAGAGAGAAATTTTTTACTTTAATTCGATGAGCATTTTTACGTCTTCAGCACCGTACTGGTGCAAATTTAAATACCTGTTTGAAGCCAAAAATACGGATCGTTTTTTTATCTATTGTTCACTTGTGTGTGATCATCGTTGCATGCAATTTTTTTCTCCGTGTATCTTTTGTCTGAGTATATTCATTACGTGTAACATATGCGACAATGATCCCATGTATGAAACGTCGGATGGTTTTTTTTCCTTTGCATGTGCCTTTTTTATCAGGTCAAATGATCTGAACGTGTCAGTTTTCGGGTCTTTTCGCATCCAGTTTTTTTTTGGGTTATTTAATTAATAAATATTAGCTATTCGTCGACACCGATCTGTGTTCACACATTGTGAACTTTATACATATCTCGAGATTGATTATATGGCGTTTAAAAAAAAACACATAAAATTGAGAATATAAAAAACACGCACAGGTATAAACAGAAAATGATACAAAAATTAATCCATGATACTCGCATAAGGTCGATGAAAGGATTTCTATTCATATTTCTGGACAATCTTAATGATGCTAGAAACAAGTTATGTCGACTGACTAGTTCTCTTTAAAGACAGCTTAAAGTACTGCGGCGGAAAAAGAGATTCGTTTCGATGCTCTTTGAAACGTTTAAAAATCGGGAGAAAAAAAGATTGTGGTCATCTTTTCATTCAAAAATGTCATGCACGACACCAAATTAAGTTGAAAATACGAGTTCATTGAAAAAAATCAATTTCTTAAACAAAACACTTTTCATTGATTTAAAATCCAATCGAGCGATATTTTGGTTCAATAAACAATTCGTTCTACAATCGAAATTCTAATAAAACATTTTCAATCATTTTCTACTTTCAGAACACAATTTCTCAATATATTCAGCAAGCACGACAGCAGCTTCAAGTATAGCAGCATCATTGTATGGCATGAACTGGCACAGAAAATCAGGCATTTCAATCAGTTCATTGCTTGATATGCTAAAGGATCTTACGGGAGTGGAAAAGGTAAATTATAGTTTTAAATAAATTTCATTTAATTCGTTGTAGTAAATCGTAGTGAATCCGCCCATTTTTCTTTTTTTAATTTAATCGCAAGGAAGTATGTGACGTTGTTTACGTTGTCTCTGTGTAAAAATAAATCCAGATGCCAAAATTATAAGTCATTTAATATTTTTATGATGTTTTTGTGGATTGAATTTTTTATTAAAAGTGCTTGGGCCGTTTTTTATCGATCTTTTCAACCATGACGGAGTTATGACACATTATTTTACGATCACAATGCAAAAGAATCGTCGTTTTTTATGATTTTTCGAATGAAACAAGAATTCCGATCGGTTACGAGCGGCATTTTTTGAATTGGCAAAAACCAAATCACTTTTGTGAATTTCGATTAGATATTTTGTGGCCAAAACAGACCAACACAGTTTATTTTTGGGCCATAAAATTATAGTTTTATATCAGTGATTCTAGAAAACAAGCACAATCTGTTGAACAACAAGAAAACAGAAACATCAAAGAATCTTGAAACGTGAATGGATTTCGCAAACTATAAAAAAGAACGACTCGAAAGGGCGGATGTTTCACACAGAAAGAATTTTTTTTTTGCTGTGGTGTACACATTCAATCATAACGTGCTCAAAAAATTAATTCCCTTGTTCACGCATTGTGGTTGAATTCAATCGGGATTATCCTTCCCAGCCACTTGTTTTCGCATTTTTCGCATTTGCAATGAGATCCAAATACTCACAAAGACAAACTGCACAAATTCCTGTCATTCACAGTCCGTTTTTGTCTGGTGTGTGTGTGTGTTGTCAGAGTGGCAAGTCGAGCACTGAATGGCGCTACATAAAAACAAATTTAAACGATCATCTCGTATTCCAAACAGCAAAATCACATGTTAATTCCACCATACATATGAATATTTCACGAGAAATTCACAATGTTTTTATTTTTCTATAAATTTTTGCTCGTCGCTCGTGTGTTGCTGCGTGGTGTTGGTGTTAGTTTTTTTTTTTTGGAATGTAGACATGACGAAAAATGTGAATGAGAAATGTATTTCCTTTTTTTGTTTATTTCTTGAATCGGGCTCGATATCAATGTGCTGCAAATTATGTGTATATTTTACGATGTCGTTCGCTTACTCTGGCCTGCTGATGGCATGCATTTTTATAGACACAACGATTAAAATGGAAAGAAAAAAAAATACTCAAAATAAGAGCCATTTATTTTTCCACAGAACGACACATTGTGAGTTTTTCGCATTAAAAGATAACGTACAGATCGGATAACATCCAAGTGCAATGCAATATTTGCTTTTTTCAATTCTGAAATCATATCAAACCAGTGAGTCATACTGCAATGCATGCACTTTTCCAATTTCAAATCGCAATGCCATGGACGGGGGGCGGATTATGCATATAAAAAAAAACATTTTCATTTTTCTCTAACATTTTTTCTATAAAAATCTGTATTTTTTTGTCCAATTATAGGAGTACCTTGAAACGTGTATGAACAAATTGGAGAATTTGTTCGAGCAACATCAGCGATTGTGTTATTCAGTGAATATCACCGCACAGAATATACCACAAAATAATAACAACAGTTCAGGCACCGGGACAACATTGGCCGGTACCAGTGGTACAACAACAAATAGTGCCAGCAATTCAAATAGCCTGGATATAACACCGACCAAACAACCAAATATCGAGATCACCTCAAAATCACAGTCAGGTACCCCAACGGATGTTCAAGATGTCACGTTTTAGTCACTCCAAAAACACCGAAGAATTCAAAAACAAAAACATAACAAAAAAAAAACGAAAAAAAAACGTAGCTTTTAATCATTTAGAATATGTATTAAACTCCATTTATTATTATCTTTAATTTTTCTCTCGATCACATTCATTTTCCTTCTTCGCCAAGGAAATCGATCATTGTAAATAACTATTGCAGGTTTCATAGAAATGATACTATTATGAAGAAAGAAAAAACACAATTATATCGGGCGCAAACAACAAAAAATGCATTTAAAATGTACGCGCACCAAATGTACATTGTTTGAAAAAAAAAAAAGTGCATACAGTTTGCATTGTATTGGGTTGTCTTGAAATTCGCCCGAATTTTCAATTACCACGTTTTTAGTCAAATTAATGATTAATTTAAACCAATTCACCCGAAAATATTTGGTTGAACACACACACCAAATAAAATTCCAATTCAAATAAAACGTTTTACACATGCAATTTTGTATAAATCATTTTCAATGCGCACCCGTGTCCATGCCGGCGCGCGCACACATAGCAAACATAAACCAGTGAAATAAAATTGTCGAAAACGTTGAAATAAGTACATTGACGGCAAAACAAATAATTTAGCATGCCACACGAATTATAGTAGTCCGGCACACGACGATCGTTGCATAAATTACACGCTTCAAAACAAAGACCAGACAAATATTATAATTTTGTGCGCGGTTGATGGTAGTGGTGGACAGATACAACTAGATCGGTACCCACGTTCATACATAATAAACGCATATAAATTAAGCGTAATGACCATTTTACGATCGGTACGTCCATTGTTTTGATGAGGCCGAGCAAATGTATTGTTTCCCCTTTAAATAAATATATCGCATATTTATTCATTAATTAATGGGTTAGACATCAATTTACCAAAATCTTGTACATACACTATAGTAATAATTTAAGTCCAACCAAAATTCATTCATTTTCTTCATACTTTCATTCGAACGAATGAGGCAGAGATCATGCTGCCAGAAGTGTGCTCTTCTGCAAACTATTCTCTTTTTCCCTCTAAATTGAAATGGCCGGCGCATCGCGGTGTGAAACTGGCCAATCTGCAATTTTCACCAATATAAATGTTTCTTAAAATTCATTTGCGATAAACTCATTTCGACTCTATCCATTCTCTTGAATCATATATAATTCTTTTTTTTTTGTTTAGTTTAAATGTATATTAATTTAAATATGAAGATGAAACGGCACATTAACATTAACAATTTTTACTACAAAATCGAATGATTTTTTTTTTCAAAGCAAAAAAAAAGTTTTGTCTCATTCATCATTTTGCTGATAAATGAATGATGAATGCGTGACGCAACAAAAAACTTTTGAGGGGAAAAGCAATTAAAGTATTTTATCAGTGTTATTATGTAAAAAAAAGGAGAAAAGAAAGACGATGTAGAAAGAAATGAAGAACGACGTTATAAAAGATCGCACACACTCAGTATGTGAGACACATTTTTGCTCTTTTCTTTGAAGACTTTGTTCGTCGAATGTTTTGCACATTGAGAAAACCCTCTCCCATTCTTTTTTTTTTATTCAACAATTCGTAAAAGACATAATCTAAATTCAAAATTAATAACGAAATTTTTTTTGTAGTAAAATTTTTCCCTTCTCAAAAGAAAAAATAATCTTAAAGCAATTATTTTTTCACTTAGGTCAAATTATATTTGGTAGTGTTTTTGGTTTGTTTGGCATATAATTTATTTATTCTTTTGGTTTTCTTCTTTATGGGTAATTTTATTCTATTAAATTTTATGGCGCCGTTTATGTTAACAAGCGCAAGTTGAAACAAAAATACGTAACAAAATAAAACACAATCTTTAAAGAAATGAGCTAAAACTATTTTATGTTGTAGAAAATGAAAAATCGAAAGAAAAAAAAATTCAATCAAAAAAAAAATTGAAACTACTTTGAATCAATATCTAATATGATTGATGATTAAACCAAAAAACGCTTAACTTTCAGTAGCTTTAGGAGAATAAAAAAAAAAAAATGAATAACAATATTCATTGATTTTAAGTGAAGCTTATTCATATAACTCTTTTCCGTTACACCATACATGTTATAAAGAAAATAACCACATTTTTTATATGTATTTGAATACAATCGATGAGAGGAACATCATACATTGATAAGAAAACTGAAGAAAAACAAAATCAAGCAGTAAACTACTGGAAATGCTCTATGAGCACTAAAATTTAATATTTATATTGAAATTCTATATATTAAGATATGAAGAAAAAAAAAAACAGAAAATGTTGAAGAGAGAAAAAAAATATGCATAAATAATTTTTTTTAGTTCTGATCTGGTGCTGCAATTGCAACAGACAGTGTTTAAGATGACAGTGTTTTTCATTATTTTAATCTTATTTGTTATATCAAACCACATTCGAACTATATACAGACACATGACAATAGATAACCATAGACACCATTAACTGAACCAATTTCCAAAAAAAAAAAACACCACAATAGACTGCAAAACAAATTTTTATAATAATATAATAAATCTGCAAACTACAATCAAATACGTTTTTTGTATATCACTTTTTATACACAACGCTCGAGTTAAGTTGAAGTTACGAAACAACTCAAGTTAACCCTTCCCTCCCCCCACACACACTACGTTAAAAACAGTAACATTAAAATGTATGAAAAAACAAAAAAGGATTACGCTTATTTTATTGCAATTTTTCGTTTCTTTCCTTGTGTAAAACGTTTCAAAAATGAAAAAAAAAAAATCTTTGAATTATCTAAAAAAAAAACACTAAAACAACTCAATTTATATCAAATAAATCTATTTATATTTTAAATGAACAGCGTTTTTTATAGAAGAATGTTTAAACAAAATGGTGTTATTTCAATTCGCTTGAAAGTTTCGTTAGAAAGATTTGATGTTAAATTTTTTTTTTCGATTTTGAATATGTGCACAAGGAAACAAATTCAAAATGCATTAAACATTTTATATACCTAAATATTTTATATTATAAAATCATATTTTTTAAATTGAGTTCTGTTTCATATTACATCCGTATTTTTTCCTCCGTAGAATAAATTTTTATTTTATTAAATTTAGACAGCTTAGTCCTTAAGCAGAAATTCAATGGGGTCAAACCCCCCCATTTCTATTTTCTTAAGGATTTTCATTTTATATTAAGTCCTTTTTTATAAATATATATATATACATTAGCGATAAGAAATCTAGCGCATAGAAAGCCGTAGCATCTAAGTGAAAAATAGATAAAACTTTTCTACTTACAAACGTCAGTTTATAAGTGAAATAGGAGAGAATCACACTACATACTGAAAATACATTAGCGTACAGAATAATGTAAGCAACAAAACAACCAAACAATAAACTGCCATTTAAAAAAAAAATGAAACAACAAATAATTATTGATAGAAAAAATCATGGAAAATCTTGATTTTCCATGTGCCACACATTCAAACATACAAACATATCAAAATGCATTTATTCTTTTAATGCGAATATGCCATAAAAACAATAGCAAACCTGATGAAATAAATATACAAAGAAAATAGTCTGATATCGTGAAAAAAAAATCGAATCCGTTGTTTTTTGTTTTAAATAGAAAATGAAACCGAATTAGCCGATAAACCGTTAAGCCCAATTAGTTTTTAGACTTGTTTTGTTACATTTTTTTTTTTCATATGAGAAATAGTCCTTTGTCATAAATAGAGTGACAACAACAGACAACACACACTCAGTGAATGGTTACGTTCATTCCGTTGAACAGCTGCTTGAAAGATGTGCTTCAATTTGATGTACGAACACTTTCAAAGCATCCACACGGAATGTGACGCACAATTTTCAACATTATTAATTTTTTTTCCTTTTCTACTTCGTACATTATTTTGTATATTTTGTGCGTAAGACTATATTGTATTTTAGATTTTTAACCGATATGTTTTTTTCTAGATCATGTACACGATTTGCGTGAAAATGCAATCGTTCACATTATAAGCCTTACGAATATTCAATTGTAAACGAAACAATAAAACAAAAAAAAAACACCGTAAACGAGAATACAATAAAAAGATACAAATTCAGATAAAAAAAAACATGTAAAATAAATTGTTTTATTTGCCTAAGTTGGCGCAAGTATTTGATTTCTGTTTCAGAGTGTCGCCAAAATTTTTTTCGGATAACTTGTTTACACGTGATGAGTTTATTGCTGTTGGAGTTTAAATAAATGATTTTGCCCGACGAAATTACATGTAATTCACATTGCACATTTTCTTTTTGTACAGTGTACACAAAAGTGAAGTATACTTAAAGACCATATACATGAAATAAAACGGCAAGCAATTGGCGCTGAATTTTCGATTGCAGCAAAGACCAGCGTCCTTTTTGCTTTAATTCGTTTCCCTGTTTCGGTTGGGTTCAGTGAATTTGCAAATTGGCTTCTAAGAGCAGCGGATGTTTGGGGTTATGAACGGACCTTATTAACTCTTTTTGCAATGCGCGATCGCACATCAAATCGTTTGAACAAAACAAAAACAATCCAAAATTTTTATAAAGACATATCTTGACATAGCTTGGTTGCCAAGTGAAAAGGGACTTCAAATGACATACACACACACGCATATTGAAAAAAATGAACCGAAACAATAAATTCGCCGCTTTGGTTGCAAAATGCACGATGGGAATTGAACAGTATGCGCGTATGCTTATTTGCCAATTTCAGTGCCGCATTAAAATATATAAAGAGAATGTACATGTCTGAACGAGAAGAGAGAAAAAAATGCGAAGACAAATCTTTAGCAAGATGTAAAAACAAACATTAAAAATGTACAAGATTTCATTGAAACGACACGAGCGACCACTGAATAAACAAAACAAGATAAACACCACCACCATCATGACGGCAAACACTTAGCCGTCAAACGTTATTAACCGACTCTCGTTCTCTTTATTACTTTGCATGCTCATTCGATTCATTCATGTGTGCAGAAATTTCGAAAGATGAAAATTCAGTTCGCCTTCATTTGAACTAATTACCAATGACTCGCCATTCAAGAAAGAGAAAAGAAAAAAAAAATGAAATGAAATCGCTTCAAATGATTATTATAAACTTGTTTTTTTCGGCACATGAATAATTTGTCGGTTAAGATTTACATTTGCGCTTAAAATAGCAACACAATTCCCATGCACTCCATTCACGCATACGCATTTTCATTCATGATCTTCGGCAATTCTGGCCCTTATCACACCCAACGTAGATTAGAACAAACAAAAAACAACATTGACACTTTGAACTTTATAAGCAATCATTATTGGCTCTATCGACATATTCTTGTCTACTATAATTCATTGAGGAAATAAAATACACAAAAAAATTGGACATTTAATTTTGATACGAAAAATAAAATGTGATGAAATGAGCCACCGTTATCTCTAGAGTTCAATGTACAATATCCATTAAAATTGATGAAGGCAATGCAAACATTTCAAAGCAAAAACAAAAAAAAAACGGTTAAAACGGTTCTATTAATGACATTCAATTCTTTTCGATTGCTACATTTCCTCTAAAGAGTTAATCTCAAGCAAACCGGAAAGATAGTGTCAGACAAATTTTATTGCCGAGAATAAGTTACAGATTCATACATAAAAAAAAGATAACAAATGATGCTTTGAAAACAATAAAAGAGTAAATCTCGGCAATAAGAGTGAAGATATTGATTTGCGATTGATAATTTAATTTCACCAAGTCAAAATTGTCAATCAAAAGTAAATGGACGATCGAAATGGACAATGTTAGTTTATTTAAAAATATTTCACAAGTTACTGTGTGACCTTAATCGAGACACATGTGATTGTGAACTTCCTTTTGGATAAGAAAACAGTGCGTATTCGCGTTTATTATAATGTTTTTGATGTGATTTAGTGCCATTTGGCGTACATTTCCATTCTTCGATTAAAACTAAGTGATGGCGAATGAATTGGTACGTTTGGTAGGTTAGTTCAACATCAACAAGTTATAACAATGACGCAATATAAAAATATCATTATCACAGAACAAGAGAATACAATGCAAGTGACGTTATTTGGCTTTTGTTTCTTAGAAATTATGATGATAATACACACAGTAAATGTGGTATAAATATCTTTATCAGCGTAGCTTGTGGCAAGAACAGTAAAAATAATCTTATGAATCATGAGATTTTTGTTGAATTCTATACTCTTTGATTGTGATTTTGATAGATTCCATCAAATTCGTTGCATAAAACTGCATTCAGTTAGTTCATATCGTACAATTAAAAAGTTGCATTAAACCAGTTTAAACTGCGTAAGGCTCAACGCGAAGCAAAATGTTATAACGGCCAATGCAAAAATGCCAAAATGCACTAACAATTGAATTCATGTCTTGTTGTTGCCCCCCCAAAAAAAAAATTGTATATAAAAACCGATTCCGGCACACATTCGATTTCAAATGTTTAAATGAAGTTGATGCGGGTAGAAATGGTTGTGCGTGTGCGCATCATCTTTATTTTTTGTTGTCTCGCGAGTCAGTTGATTGCATTCGACTGGCTGCTTAGTTGCATGGGCACATTGTTTCATATGATCTTGAATTATGCGTGCGAACTTGGTAGATCGCGCATTCCCCATTCCCGCTTTGTTTCATCATGTGTCGCTGATCTCTTATTGGCAGCGATTTTTCTCTGTTCTCCCTCTTCAACTTGTCCGCGACCACATTCAGTCAACCAGTCAGCCAGCAGTAACAGTGCGCGTTCAATACATGTGTACATCAGATGCTAGTCTATCTGTGCGCAGATTTTCTGATTCTCGCATACAAAAATACTCGAACAGCGCTCATATGATTTCGTTATTTATTTTTTTGGTACTTGGTCGATGATGTGCAAAAGTTCATTCTTAAATATTTTTATTTTCGTTCCTTCTTTCTTTGTCTGTTCATTCGCAATATCTCTCACCCCGTTTGCATTTGCAATATCTGACAAAAGTTGGGAGAGATGAAAAAGAAGAAAAAAACCGATGCCAATATAATGCAAACCAAAGCCAGAATACACAGTGCAATGAAATTGGTGGGAAATTATGAATGAAATTAATTTGCATCGGATATATAGCACTATTTCTTTCTGCTGCAGCTCGACTGCTGTGAAGCTGTGACTGTGCGCGAGCACACACAACACTTTTCGGCTCTTCGACGCTTTTTGTTTGATTTTTTTCTCTTTTGGTCTTATTCTTGTTGCGCACACACATTTGAGAACACACATTTTTTTTTGTGGCGTTTTTTTCTTCCGATTTTGATACATTTTTTATCATTCGACTATATCGTTCCCATTGTCGTCATCGTCGCATCCATTTACATTTTATTACATTGGCCACATTCAGTTTATGTGGATTTTGCTGTTACCGCGAACAATCGACACATATTACGATGAGATTGGAATGTATGGGCTTGGATAATTCGAAAATCAGAAAAACTAAATTTATCAATTAATCAATTTATCGAAAAAAGAACGGATGCACATTTTTACCATACGTGGTATAGTTCAATTAGGCTTCTTTTTTACCTTCGGTATTCGCTATCTATTCAATAAACAACGTGTACTAGCACCTATTTTTTTAAACTTTATTTGTAAATAGAATTTTGTACATGAAGAAAAACATGAAAATATATACTATATATTCGAATTCATTTTAAAACGATATTTTTTTCTTATAAACAGACATTGCTTACAGACTCACTTGCTTACAGAGCTTAGTGAGAGTGAAAAGAGAATCTTTACAAAGAACTTTTCGATCTTTTTGTTATTTTCGTATAATGATTATATTATATAAAATTATAAAAAAGAAAGAAAAAAATATAAAATTCGTCGTGTAGTTAGTTACACATCGGGTCGGTAGGTAACAATTCAAGAGCTAAGTCAATATTTCCATGAACCAGTTCCAAAATTTTCACAAGATTTCCATTTTCATTAGTGAATCCCATATCAGATAAGGCCAATATTGCTGCATTCACATGATCGTCTAAATGTGAAAATAAATAGATAACAAATAAATGCGAATAATTAACACTGAAAAAGTTGAAGACTTATTGAAAAAAATATTTCAAACCTGGATGTACTTGTGGTGCTTCTTTTTCGGTATCATCGACAGCATAGTTTTGTGGCTCCTCGTTTGGTTTTTCATCAATGTCGATTCCATTAAGTTTGCTTTCAACCATTACAAATAGCGTATCATCATGTGCATCATCTTTAGAGTCTGGAATCTTGTCGATGTTGCTTGCTAATTGATATATTTTTGCAGTGTTAGATGAAGCGCCTGTATTTTCCTCGAATTCATTTGAATCTATAAAATCCCATTCATTATTTGGCGAATCTAATAAAAGAGAAAAGTCTATTTTATTCATCATTCTTTCGAAGCGAATTAAAAAAAGAACGAAAAAATGTTATTCAAACCTTGTTCAGCGGCGACATCCTCGCTTTTGGCATCCACATTGGTTTCGATATTACCATATTCATCGTTTGATGCTGTCGCAGGAGCGTCTGCATCAAGAAGGTGCGAGAGCAATAAAAATCGAGGACATTTTAAATTTTTATTAGAAAAAAGGGTACCTGCATCCCGTTGCGGACGCCCAAGTGCTTTCTTATTCGGGAGAGACCTTAACGCTCTTAAATGTATTCTTTTTGCTGATTCAAGAATGCTGCCATTTATGTCGTATTGGTCATCATAATACCTAAGCTGACAGTCTGTACAGCCACATTGTGGAGCCCATCCAGGTTGATCACTGGTTGGTATTACCATATTTGATTTTCGTTTTAATGCTCTTAATTTTTCCTTTTGAAGAAACAAATCATTGGGAATATCAGCATTCAACGTAATTGTTCCGGGTTCTTCATAAACTGCTGAAGTGCTAATTGCATCAATATCTTTCTCAAAGTTACTCGAAAATAACATCTGTTCATTGTTTGACGATTCTAAAACAGGGAGAAATTTATTTATTAACAACACACTTTCGAAACGAATTGAAACAACCAGACATTAGGTTTGATCTATGGATATAGCGGCTGCTATTTCATAGCTGCTATTCATAGGCGCTATTTATCTCGTTTTAATGCATTTATGCATATTGTGCGTTATTTTCTACATCTCTCTCGTACTCACATTCAAATGTACAATACTTGGCTATGATATTCCTACTCGGTGTTACACACAGCACACGAATTAAATAGCGCCTATGAATAGCACCTATGAAATAGCAGGCGCTATATGCATAGCTCGAGCCTAATGTCTGGAAACAACAACCAAAAAATGTTATTCAAACATTGTTCAGTGGCGATGTTCTCATTTTTGGCATCTTTATTAGTTTTGATATTACAACATTCATTGTTTGCTATCGTCACATTCGAGATATCTTCGGACTTACTAGATTTGTCTTTTGAATCTTCCTCTGAAAAATTGGCCTTTACTTTTTCTGGTTCGGAATTATCAGCATTCAATGTGTTACCACAACTTGTTGATGCAATAATGGAGTCATTAATCGATTTCGACCCCATTTGAGCTTCATCATTAACTGCTCTAGTGTCAATTACACCCGTTCCATTCTCAATGTCATTCAAAATCGAATTCCATTCATTCTCATAGTTGAATCTGTCTTCTTCAGCAATTTCATCATATTCAACATTGACAAATTTAGACATTTCAGTTAATTGATCCTTTTTTGCGCTGTTAGATGAAGCGCCTGTACTTTTCTCGATTTCATTCGAACCTATAAAATCCCATTTATTATTTGAAGAATTTAAAAAAAAAACCAAAAAATGTTACTCAAATCGTGTTCAGCGGCGATTTCGACATTACCACATTCATCGATTGACATTTTCATCATCGATATAACGTTAGAAAGTTCGGAAGACAATGTTCCACTAAACTCTAACGCTTTTTGAAGTTCAAGGGGCGACAATCTTTGACCAATAAGAAATTTCCGGAGAAGAGATATGTCATATGCATAGTCTTCCATCACTAAGTCTTCAGTCTCGACACTATGGGCCGTTGCTGCGGCGAAATACGAGATCGCGAAATTTGGAGTACTGAGCCCAAAATCACGTTTTATCTTACGATGACGCTGTCGTTTAGCTTTCCTTTTTTTCGTCAAAATATTATCCTGCATGCATTCAGGTTGACCTATGTCAACACATTTTGACGATTCCGTCGCCATATTATTTGTCATGATAAAAGACGAAACGCTTTCTGGTGGATTTTTTACAACAAAAATCTTATCGATTTTATGCTCTTCAAACAAAACAAAATCGGATTCTGTTTGAATTATCACTTTATCACCGCTCCAATCTGAGAAATCGGAAAATAAATTTACATTTTTTTGAACGACATTAGCCAATAGCCATATAAAAATTATAATTACCTTCATAGTAAATGTAGTGCGGTGCGGCGTTGAGCTCGGACAAACGATTATAAATTGCCTTTAAAAAACCATGGAAATTCGGTGCTTCTGGCTTAATCGCAAGAAACAATTCGAGATTTTCTTCTGAATCTTTTACAACGCAAATTTTGTAAAAGGACGCCATTTTACGAGTACTAATGTTTGGTTTAATACTGTTTCTTTGTTTTGAATGAAAAAAAAATACACTTCAATGTACTTTGAATTTGTTTGAATATTTTTATGTACACACAATACAACGAAGACTTACTTATGAAATCCAAACATAAACACATATACATACCATGCACCTATGCACCCACACTGCAATCACTGAACTAAAGTTCACACACAAAAATAAATGAGTATCCTTATTCTGATATTGGTGTAGTTAACTATGAATTTTTGTGTAGCTAACACAAGAATCAGAGTAACAGAATTTGTGTGTTATGTCTTTACGCATGTGTGTGGATCATTTCTAAATGTACTAAGTGAAACAGACGACGTTTATTGATGCTATTCACTTAGTTCGTTTAGAAATGACTCACACACATGCGTAAAGACATAATACACAAATTCTTTTACACTGTTGTTAGCTATGCATAAATTCTGAGTTAACGTACTTTCTACAACAACGTCGGAGTCAGGGCATTTATTTATTTTTGTGTGTTGGTCACGCGTCACGAATTTCCCAACAAGCAATATGCCTTTTGTATGGCATATCAACATTATGTTACCTTTATTTTGATAGGGTTGTTACGTATGTAGAAGACTTAGTTAAAATTGTCAGTGAAATCTAAACAAATCAAATGCTACTGTAGCTATAGCGTCTGGATGCTTTCTACTTTGACATTACGTCTTGTTATCCCTATTAAAATCCTCAATATTCTGTCACTTATTAAAATATTGAAAACTTCCAATAGAAAGCAAAGATGCTTTATTTAGATAAATTTATCAGATTTATGGTATATTTCGATTTTGTGACATTCATCCATTATTTTTCCAGTGTAAACGATAAATTTAGACATCTATTTTGATAGTTTGGTATTTTGTAGATCTGAATTAATTGGAGTGACACAGTGTTACTAACACTTAGTAAATGTCACAACATCGAACATTTCCAACATTTATGTGATAAATCCATCACATATTCGCTTAGATAGATTGATATCTAGCGATATTCCGTGGTTGAAAGAATTTTTTATTTCGTCAGCCGTTTGTTTCAAACAAATGACCATTTATTGCTGACGATTGGTATATGTCCGTTCGAACAATTCTACAAAATAGATCGAAGCTCAAAAATATAAATAATATAAGAGCCCAAAATAGGTTATGTTTGCGCCTACCACTGCTAATATTTAAATCAGTGAGAAAATTTTACACTTGTTCGTTATCTTCTTTAGTTTTTATTAGTCAATAAATTCATGATTGCATACATTTGTTATAGCGTGTATAAGATTGGTTTATGCTTACAATTAATACCATTACTTATTATATATTTTAAAGTAAAAAAAAAATAACAATCGTAATTTATATTAAATATGAAATAAACGGCCGAATATGATTCTTTTGATGAAATGTGATATTCAGATATTTTTCCGTTTTTGCTGTATGATTTCAAATGTATGGATTTATGTGTAACATTTAAATAAATGTAAAGAAAAATGATAAGATTTTACGTGTCATAAAAAATCAAATCAAATAAACTGAACTGCATTGAAGCAAGATTATTAATTCGCGAATATCTTTTGATTTGATTTGTGATTCAATTTTTTTTAAATAATAGAATAGAGCAATAGACGGATTTCTATACAAAAAAAAATCATTTGAATGATATAGAAAACTTAAAATAAGAATTTTATAAAGTGATTCAAGTTAAATGAAGTTATTTTTAAAATTTAATACGCCAACTTTTAAATCAGTCAAATTTGAGTCCGGGGGGCAAGAAATGTTGTCATCGCACAAAAGTTTAAGATATTTGTGCGCTAATCTATTGGGTATTAAATGCAAGAGTAAACCGTCTTCGTTATTGAGTTGTATATGGTACTGGTCAATACTTCATACTTTTCGACCATCCCATGGCTGTTTCATTCACTTGACCATCTAAAAAGAAATGGAAGTAAAAAAAGTTATTTATAAACATTAAAAAATAAGCAAATTCAAATAAATTACCAACCTTGTTCGATATCAACCGAATCATTTTGTGGCACATCGTTAGATTTTTCGTCAGAAAAAGTTTGAGTTTGAAAGATCAAATTGCCAAATGTTTGTCTCGATGCAACATCATTCTTGTGCGTATTAGTAATTCCCACTTTGTATGGAGTGACACCGTGAACATTTGCCATGGCTTCAATTTTATCACATTGTCGTTCCATTACTAAAAAGTAGTCCAAATCATTGACCTCAACGTTATCAATCCATATTGCTTCCGGCAAAGCTGGGGTCGCTGCTACATTTTTTGATTTTTTTTCTGTGTACTTTCCGGCGACAGCTTCAAGTCGTCGAATCAAATCATCGACATCCATTTCATTATTCGACGAGCTTGATCTGGTTTGAGGCAAAGCTGGGGTCGCTGCTACATTTTTTGATTTTTTTTCTGTGTACTTTCCGGCGACAGCTTCAAGTCGTCGAATGAAATCATCGACATAGCTTGATCTGGTTTGAGGTTCATCTTGAACGGCTTGGGTGCTAATTATATCAATATCATTTTCAGTGTCAATCGAAATTAAGTCCCATTCACTATTTGACGAATCTTCGTCGTGGGACTTGAATGGATTCGTATCATGAAAAGACAAACTTTTTGCTGTCAATTCCAAAACATCGGTAGGTATGGGAGATGTTTGGTCATGTTTTAAATTCATTTCATCGACTTTAATCACTGATTCTCTCTCGACATAATCAGACTTTGTGGCTAGGGCAGTACTTGTCGATGCAATTACAGCGTCATTATTTGATGAAATTGATTTTATTTGAGGTTCATCGTGAACTGTATTCTCAATGTCTTTCAAAATCAAATTCCATTCATTTTCGTAATCGAATCTATCCTCGTCAACAATGTCATCATTTGCAACATTTTCATTTGAATGAGACAAGTGATTGCCTTGAGGTTTATGAACCGAGCTTTCCTGCTTTTCTTCTGAATTGTAAGCTTCATAATGAGAATCTGGGAATTCATTCGAAACATCTGAAACTGGGTCTAACGATGTCTCGAAATCTGAAATCACGCTTGCGTTTTCATGGGCAATAATTCCATTTTCCGAAGTTGTGATTTTTCCAGCTTTAGGTTCAATGGTGGAAATTGGGTCCGATGTTTTCGCCGCTATCTTTGAACATGGTGGAATTGTGAAAGGTAATGCGGGTGTTGGTACATTTTCCAAAATAAAAATGGTGTTGGTATATTCTTCTTCGAACAAAGCGAAATCGGACTCCGTTTGAACGATAATTTTGTCCTTCTTCCGATCTATTAAGGGCGGAAAGTGAAATAGCAAAAGTAAATTAGCTCAAGCGATTTTTTTTTAATGGCGCCTTTAATGGAAATATCATTAAGAAGAAAACATTTAACATTTTTACTTACCTTTGTAGTACATTATCACTGATGAATCACGAAGTTCCGGTAAACGATTGTAGACTGTTTCCAGAAAGCTAGAAAAATTGTCGCACTTCTTGATAGCGATAAAAGTTTCACAATTAATTATGTCGCTAGGAATACGAACTTTATAAAAAGACTTCATTTTGGGAATAGTTTTCTGGTTCTTTATCATTTTTTCAAAAAAAAAAATGCTTTAATACGCTTTAAACTTGCTAAACTGAGGTGTTTATGCTCACACGATACAACAACGACTGAAGATATCCAAACATAAAACATATGATATGCAAAGTGGATGCAGAGTTTGACAACCTTCCTAATGACAACATCCTTAATGACTCTAGTGACGACCACTGGTCACCAAATACTTAAACAGTGTGTATATGTGAAATACTCATAATTAATAGGCAAGGTATTTTTTGTAGATAATATGTATTCCTGTATTTTGGTATCTAATATTGATTGAAAATGTCCAGTATGCGCTAGTATGAATTTTCATGATCGAATACATGTATTAAAACCGTATATACACTGACAAAACTAAGGTTATGATTTTGACAACTCCGTGTTGTAAATGCTTACATTCCAACAAATGTTGTGAAGTAGCCAACAATTGTTGTCGTTGTGAATACATATAATATATGCCATTGTACGTATTCACAATGACAACAATTGTTGGCTACTTCACAACATTCGTTGGAATGTAAGCATTTACAACACGGTGTTGTCAAAATCATAACCTTAGTTTTGTCAGTGTACTTTGGGAATATTTGGTTAAGTGGCCAACCCTTCATTGAGATGTTTGTATACACAAAGCCGGAAATTCGATGAAAAATACTTAAACTTCGCAAATGAGCGAAAAAAACTAGACCACACTCAAAGATGGAGCCAAACATTTATTTTTATAGCAATATTTCTAGAACATTCACAATTTATTATGATCATTCGGGAGATTTGAAAAAATCTATGCTCCTGTAGGACAAAAAAAAACAAATGAACGAAAAAATCTTTAAAAGTGTTTGAAAATAGTTTTATTTAAATTTTTACAAAATACACATTGGACACCGTCATTAAGTTAAAGTGGTGCCTCATAAAATGACTTTCATTTGCTATCTAATGTACATGCTGTTTCGTTTGACCCCTTGTCCCGCCTTTTATCAAATACTAAATAGAAATGTGTCTAAGTTTATTTTCTCAAAAATAGGCATACTGAGTACAGTCTCCACTCAAACATTTTTCCAAGATTTATTTGGTGTTGCGTGCAATAATTATTGAAATTTTTCATTTAAAAGAAGGTGCTCTATGGAATCTAATAGTCCGAAGTGATCAACATTTTTACTTTAAATTATTAACTGTTATCATTTTTAAAGTCGAAAACACTTAACTATAAATAAATAGTCTTTAAAAGCAATCTGCATTTTCAAAACTCACGAAGTATCATAAAGAATGAAAATCCTCTATTTACAACCTGAAATCATCAATATCAACATTAAACTCAGTATTCTGTTGCTTTCAAATGAAATTACCTGTTTGAAAGTGTTGCGTGTGCATAAAATGTTGCCAAAACCTCGAATTAGAACTGATCGTTGAGTATTGATCAGAATAGTTGGTAGCATACGTTGAATATTATATGGAAACAGATGCCAATCACACTGATAAATTGCTTCATTCAGCTCCATAAATTCGGTGGTTATGCTCTCACCCAAATTGCATAATAAAAAATTGAAAAAGAATGACCAGAACACAAGACCGATTTGAATTATCAAAATGAAGAAATTCGTGTTGTGTTGCGACTAATTTAATTTAATATTAGAATGAATTGAATTATGTGAAATCTTACTATTTTAAGAAGAAAGATAAAATATTGAAACTTTACCAATTCAAATTGGACCGTTAAAAGTGTGCTGCAAATTGTTAGATTGCTCCACAAGAAGTTGGTCGTGAAAATAGCTTCATAAATTTCCATAAATTTGAAGGCAAATCTTGAAATACATTTAAGCATATGTTAATTAATAATGTGCTAATTAATATGGCCATTGAAACTCAACTCTTTCACAATCACATGAAATTCAACGAATTCATTTAGTTTGCCCTTGAGTTCTGTTTGACTTTCTTCAGCTTTACCAATTCCATTCAAAGTGTTCACTTCATGTTTGAGATCTTTTATAAATGCAATCAACATACAGCATGAAGAGAGTGCATACATCATGGTACATGTAGATGTTAATGTAACACAATGAATAAAAGAAAAAACTGCAGTGAAGCCAACTAAATACAAAATTGGATCTTTCCATTCGAATGGAAACCTATTTACATAAAAAATAAAAATAAAAATAGTAAAAATAGTGAACATTTAGTAAAATAAAAACATTTTACAAATAGTACACTAAATAATCAACTTACCAAACAGCAATAGGGAAGCGAAAAGATTCCTTTCCCAAATCAGTTGCAAAGTACAAATAGTAGCATATGATAAGAAATGGAACAGTAGAACCAAAAACTGTTAATTTCATTATTGAAAACTCAATCATTTTTGTCCATTTTTCGACATTTTCATTTGTCTTCTCGTATATTTCCTTCGATACAGGATTATCCAATTCTAAAAATTAGATTAAATTCAGTGCCAAATACTGTTATATTCTTGAGTATTTGAAAGTTATGTGTTTGTCGTACGTACTTTTTGCGATTACTGCTTCGAATTCCTCAATCAATTTGAACATGATGGATGCCTTCCACACGATAACTGTAAAGAAGGGAATGGTCAATAGCGCTGTTACAAATCCATAAAAGTAATTCGAATATTCTTGAAAAGTGCTTGCTTCAATTAGCAAACCAACTGAAGTTAATAAAACTAGTGTCACTAGTCCAATGAAAACGGCCCATAATCGAATGCTTATCGTATGTTTTTCAAAAGCTTGACGGTGATTAATGCCCAATGCTTCAAATATTTTTCGCGTAGATTGAAAAATTTTCATGATTTATTCTCAAGTTTCCGTAACAAATTAATAATTTCAAGTTTTTTGATTTATGTGATAGCTTTTAATTGAGTTTATAACTGGAAACGAAATCTTTCAACTGATTTTGAAATATTTTATGTTTTTTTAAGGAATGAATATGAAACTTGGAATATGAGTGCCAAATAACTTCTGCTTGTCAAAGCGCTTAAAGAGATACTGCATGAAAGTGTTTTGTTGAGTTAGTTGTGTAAGGCAACTTATGACGTCAATTTTCATTTCAAATATTATACACAGCTGCAATTACTTCCAGCAATAAAATGCAGTTAAATGGACATTTACATATAAAATGAGTATTGTTATCAGTCGTATCGAAATAAACGTATTCAAAATCAATACCAAAACTTATTTAAAGCTACATTTATCGATTCCTGTCGTCGCTCATCCGTTTTGATAGAGGTAAATCCAAAATGTACACAAGAACAAGAACAAAGTGCATATTAGCTTCATTTCCCAGCCAAATCAGCTTCAATTTCGAGTATTTTCAACGCTGCTTAAAAATATTTTTATTGAGAATTTTCAGATATGAACAAGTGGCATAAATTGTAATGCATTTTATTTCATTGAATCGGAAATTCTCATTTCAAGAGCCACGTTCGTTGAGAATGACCCGATTTTAGTTGTTTCTATTGCTAATTATGCATAAATGTCGTATTTGTGAAGTATATTAACTATATTCGTTACAACATTGATAAATTATTAAAGGCGCTGACTTGGACATTTCAACAAATCGTTTAGGATCCAAATATATAATTATCGATTACAGTTTAATATAGTTTAAAATAAAAAATGGAAAATTGTGAAGCATGAAATTTCAGAACGAATATTTACGCCAAATGTTTTGTGCTACTAGAGGAATTGAAAAGGGTGTATTGGAAAAAAGCTAAATTAATTAATGTTTAAACAAATATTGCAAAAAATTATTTCAGAGGAATTTTTCGCATAGATTGAAAATTGTTCATGATTTCATCTAATTTTTTATTATTTATGAAAACGGTTATTATGTGGTTTATTGTTTGAGATAAGAAAAAATTGTACATTCTTTAATTTTTTGTAGGCAAGGTATGTTGTGATGATTAGTACTCAGATTCGATACTATTGGTTTTTGATTTTTTTATAGAAAATATTTTGAATCTTGGTATGGTAATCTTGTACCACATTATCATTATGCATTCATTTTGAATGGTCATCAAATCGTACTTTTTTCATAGTCCGAATTCCATCACATTGTCGCCCCAATGGATACAGTTGATCCAAGTAAGATACTTTGGTGTTATCACCTGTTGGATCTGGTTTTGGCAGAGATGAAAAGGCAGCCACATAACTATATGACTGAGCTCGTTTCCATTGCAGGTACCTTTCAGCGCCAATTTCAAGACGATCAATTAGATCGCTGTATTCCATTTCCTTAATTATTGAACATAGATCTTTTTTTGGTTCATTGACAACTGTTGTATCGTTCATTACACGAGTATCATTTTTAACTTCATTCGAAAAGGGATTCCATGCATCACTTGACAAACCTATGGAAAGAGAATTAATATTAAAAACATTTAAAATCATCAAAATTATAAATTGATCCACTGTACGGATTCCATACCTTTGTTAGTCTCACATTCTTTGGATGTTTCAGTGTCAGAGACTCCAGAAATCGAAGGGACATCTTTTTGTGGCATATTGATAAAGTCACTGTCGGTGTACTCTGGTGATTTTTCCTGAATATTGGCAAAATCTTCTTTATTTACTTCATCATCACTGATTGTATCGCATAGAGAATCAGTGTCGTCATCCGAGTCTGAAGTTTCTTCCACTACATTTTTGAATGGTTCAATTTGAATGGCGAAAGACAATGCACTTTCTGGTACATCTTTCATAATGAAAATGGTCTTGCTATAAAGTTCTTCAAGCAAAGAGAAATCGGATTCGGTTTGAATGATAATCTTATCACCCCTATCTATAAAGGCGAAAAATAAAATAACAGAAGTGCATGAGTGAAATACTTTGAAGGGAATAATAATAGTTCACAAACATTTAACGTTTTAACTTACCTTTACAGTACATTATAATCGGTGAAACACGGAGATTCGGCATACGATTGTAGACTGTTTCCACAAAATCTGCAAAACTGACACCCTTCTTGATAGCGATAAAGGCTTCACAATTAATGATGTCGCTCGGAATACGAACTTTATAAAAAGACTTCATTTTGGGTAAGGTTTTCTCGTTCTTTATCGTTGGTTTAAAAAAAATAATGCTTAAATACACTTTAAACTTGCTAAACTGAGGTGTTTATGCTCACACGATACAACAACGACTGAAGACATCCAAACATAAACATATGATATGCAAAGTGGATGCAGAGTTTGACAACCTACCTAATGACAACATCCTTAATGACTCTAGTGACGATTACTGTTCACCAAATACTTAAACAGTGTGTATATGTGAAATACTCATAATTAATAGGCAAGGTATTTTTTGTAGATAAAAAGTCTGTTACTTTAAATTTATTCCTGTATTTTGATTAAAAATTTCCATAATGCGCCAGTATGAATTATCATGGTCGAATATATATGAATTAAAACCGTATATACTTTACGAATATTCGGCTAAGTGGCCAACCCTTGATGGTTGTCTAAAGCCGGAAATTCGTTGAAAAATACTTAAACATTGAAATGTACGAAAATTGGACGAAATTCAAAGATGGAACCAAAAATTTATTTTTTATAGTAATTGTTTTTACCTTTTCATTTTCTACCAATGTTTCTAACTAAAAAAAAATCCCAAAATTTCAAGAAGTGGTAAGAAACATTCGAAGATTTCAAAAAATCTACTGTATTTACCTATAGAATGGACCAAAAAGTCTTTGAAACTTCTCTGTTTCGATTTCTATAAATAATTCATTATACCTGTCTTCCCTCAAGTAACATCAATCGATACTATGGAATTAAGCATCCATAATTCATATATTTATTTATAATTTCATGCATAATGATACTTACTGCAATAGTGTGGAAATTCATTCAAGCATCTTCAAAATAATTTGAGTGCATTGCAAAATGATTACACTGATGGCGTACGGTTTTTGATTTGGCGAAGATTTTTGTTATTGCATCACGTAATTGTAAATCGATCTACCTTATTAAATACCCCATCATTATTGTCAATATTTTGAAATAACTTCAATCATCACCTTCGCACTTCTCTTGACATAGTCCGAATCAAATTTCGTCAATTTCAGCGCCAATTTATTTTCCACATACAAAGACTGTGGAAACCAAAATGAAGAGAAATGGTATTACCTATTTAATTGCAGATTAGAGAGTAAAAGGCAGCAAAAATAAAAATAAAACATATTCTCATTTAGCGATAAAAAATCAAACGAAATTCTCGGATACGTCAAAATCACGCAGTGTTCCTCATATATGTACCATACTATGTTTGGTAAGAACAATCATCATCGTCAAATCTTTATTTAAAATCGAATATTAAAGCGTGTATTTTGCTTCATGTAAACGATGTTAAAGTGGCGTTCTGAACCCCCAGAATGTGCGCATGTCCGTCCGGTTGGTCCATTTGCCACTTTCGCAAAGACTTATTCAAAGTCATGTATATTGGTTTGTTTTCTGTCACGTTGATGGTTGATCGGCAAAGCGAAAGTGATAAAAATTGCAGATTTAATCGTCACAGTTTAATTGGAAAAATTAAAATGCGGCACAGAACCATATTGACTTCACAACCACTCAGCAATATGATTAAATATCAGATTATACGGAATAATAAAGAATATTGTGTGTGGAATTTGTATAACATGGATGGTCGTCACTGTTGTCGTGCATATGCGCATTTTGGTATTTCGGGAATAATGATGTGCGAGAGCGAAACAGAATGTAAACGGCACATCCTTGCGCGCATCCATCGTAATGCAATTGTAATGTGTTTGGATGCACACACAGAGAAAACCAGTATGCAATGTTACTGGCCAAAGGAATTTCACCGTTTTGGCGCGTAAAATGCAATTTTAGCTGCTCATCAAACCTGCATACCGGTTTCGTGTTCGAAGTTTGGCATTCCAAAGTGGCTGACGGTTGAGCGTGCGCATATTTTTCAATATTCAATTGAATGTACATCGAACGCTTTCTCAAGCGAATAAATAATGCAAAGAAATTGATGTGAATTGTCTTTTGTCTTTTTTAGAGCACCGGAACGCTTTACATATCATCACAAACATTTGCAACAAAGTATATTTAAATTAATTTCCATTTTTGTGTGGGAACAAATCGACCGAAAAAAAGAGAGTGTAATTTGATGATAATCAATGGAAATTGTAAAAATCCAATCAATGTTGAAGTAATTTTGTTCGGTGTTTTTTTTTAAACCAAAATTTAAACATGATTTGTTTGAATTAATTACATTCAAAAGCACTTATCGGCTACATTTTTTTCGCGACAGTGCATGTAAATTAAAAATATGGAAAAATTGCGGCTCTAAAGTAATTGACGGGAAAAGTTATGTTAATATTGTGTCACCTAACAACAATGCGCTTCAATTCTGGGGGTCGTCGTTCTCATTGCACAAAAGAAGAAGAGCACACAAAAAAAAACATACGAAACTGAAAATTTGCGGACGTATTAACATTTTCATGTAATTAGACACCTTAAGGCGAATTTATAGTTCGGGGAAAAGTGAGTTTTCTTTTCATTTTTCATTCGTTCTCTTCGCATCGCGTTCGCAATTCGACACAAGCGATCTTGAAGAGATTTGCGCTTGGAATGGCAATTTTTCAAATATTTCAGCCAATGTTGTCAATAATTCAATCTCGCGAGTGCGCTTTGATGATAACGCCTTACGACACACATCGATCGACATCCACCAAATTATATTTCGGTTTTGTGGCCTTAAGTTGTCGGTAGTACATGCAATGAACGAGCCAAAATTTGAATTGACCGAGGGAAGAGTGAGCGAGAGAAAGAATGAGAGCGGAAGCCACGAAGATAAACGAGCAAAGAAAAAAGATGAACGAGAACAAGCACGGAGAGAAAATAGCAATAAGAAACATCAACAAATATTTAATAAATTATTTACACTAATTTATTTCGATCGCAGCTCAATCATCCAGTTCTTTTCGTTTTATGTTATCGTCGTATTCAATGCAACAAAAGCCAAACGAATCTTTAGCCCGAAAACGGATGATAATGAATGGTGAAGAGATGGATGCACATAATATAATGGACGAAAATTATAGCGAGAGAAAACCAATATCGTTCTATCCAATGTGAATGGTGCTCAATGGAGCCAGGATATGATTTGCATTTAGGAACTTCGTTTTTCCACCGAATTCACTTGATCCGTAATTAATTCTGTTTGACGTATTTCGAAGCGGCTTTGGTTGAAAGTTGTTAGACCACAATGTTACTACTGTAACTGGACCAACCGAATTTATGTGAAATTTTGTAAACAAAACGAAGTTCATGATTGAAAAACATGAAAAATATCTGCAAATATACGCTGCATAGGCAAAGAGATGGGAGAGCAAAAAAAGGAACGCATAACCTGGTATTCAAAAAATAAATAAATGGCGTGGAACCGCCGCATTCAATATCGTTGCATTTCTTTGTCTCATCGCCACAAAATTAGTTTGAAATAAATCAAATGAATGTCTAAAGACTAAAGACAAATTTGTGTGGTTTAATGCGTACCAGCGCGAAAAATATGCAAACTATGAAAATTCCTTAAAGGGCATAAACATAAAAATGTTAGCGATGCCGCTGAAAAGGAATCATGTTTATCGTGGCAATAATCCATTCATTCATTGCAAGTGGCATTGGCACTAATAAAATCTCATATTTGCTGTCACCTAATATAATTTCTTGTTTATTGCCAAATTTTCAGCGACGAGTGTTTGCATTTTGTTGTTGTTTTCGTTTTCTGTCTTTTAATATGCCATTTTGTCGGATATAAAAACAAAAAAAAAATTTGACGTTCGTTTTATTTTATCGAGTTGAGTCGAGGCATTACGAATGATGCAGCAAATAAAACACAATGCCTTTTCCGGCAATTACGCACAATTTTCGATCCTCCAATCCACCACATTCAGTCATCACAGGCACACTACCACAAAAATTAACTCGACTTGGATCCATACCATTTCATACATTGTTTTTTATGGTGCCGTTCAACATTTTGATGTTAATCAAGATATTGTGATTATTATTAATCGTGATCCGGAATGAAAATAAAAAAAAGACTAAATTTCATACATGCGTGCTAGTATGTCTGCGTTCACTGAATCATTGTTGTTGTTTATGTTGTTGCCACCGCCGTCGTGGTCGTTTTCGATGCCGCCGCCATCGAATAAACACCTTCCATACGATGCTCGTTCGATGCCGAATCGATGGAAGACCTTTTTAAATAATATTGATAATAAAAACAGCAAACTCGATTCCAATTCAATTTCTGTGTTTTCATTCGTCTCTCACACTTCGCTGGTCAAGTTTTAACATTTTAAAAGAATTTCTTTTCGCCAAACACCATCGACAATCGGCAGTACAAACGATCAACAATTACAAAACAAAAACGAAACCAGAATCGACCATCAAACCATTAAGCGCACAGTACGCAAAAATACCAAAGCGCGAGATATGAGTAATACATAAATATATTTTCAGTTTTCTGCTTCGCTATATCGGCTGTTCTTGTTGTTGTTGCTGTTATTCTTTCTCTATCTTCGCCATTTAACAGGAAAATCTCACACGAACAAAAGCGAGAACAAAATGAAACATATAAAATCAATAAAAAATAGCTAAATAAATGATAAAGGATCGTTTTCATATTCATTAAATGGCCAATATTGGATAGGAGAGAAGCCAGTTTTGAATCATAAGCAATTATTATTTCAATTCAATCACATTTTAAAACAAAGAATGTCTTCTCTGAAATTCTATTTTAAATTCATTAAATTCTCTGGCATGCTGCGATTTGATCACTTTTGACTACAGTGCGCTGTGTGATTAAAAAAAAAACAAACAGAAATATAGGTGAGACGGTATTTGACTGGCTGGTGCTTTGAGTCAGTGTGCTACGCAATTGAAATATACTGACTAGCAAGTACGGTGCCGATTTTGACACATATTTGAAATTTCGCTTTTGAACAGAATTACTTCATGTTACAATACTCTGCGCCAGAACCATATAATAACACTGACGGTGGGCGCCATTCGGAATTCACTTTGAGATCGCTTTATCGTACTCAAAACATACTTTGAAAATGATCATTACTTGCTTTCAATAATACATCTATGTTTCGGTCGATCTCAATAGTGACAACCAATAAATGTTTGAAGATTTAATTTTGATCATTTTTTAAGATTTTTTTTATTATTTAAAAAAATGGAATGTTTCAATTCAATTAAAGATATTTGTCGTATTTTTCAAACGATAGAAATCATATTGACAACGTCAAGTAATGGCAGAGCTTTGGCGATTCTTGGCTACGTGTCACTCATTTTTAGTTCCCTTATTGTTGGATGTTTGTCAAATTCCATTCAAACTTTACTTTTGATGAATGAAAAACAAATGGAGTTGAAATTGATATAAGCATAGATTCACCATTGAATTGGCCACGTATTGTTCATGTTATCAATGTTCATGTGCTAATAAATTTATGTTGAATAAATTATGAATCTTCATTAAATTTCAATAAAGATTGAGCTTAAATCTAAAAACAAAATTGTTCCATTATGCCGGCTTGGTTTTGATTTAATTGTTAAAACATGGACAGATATTTCTTATTCGCAGCGGCTGCTTTTAAAAGATCGCCAGATGCCAAGTGCTCTTAACACCTTTCGATGCAATCAATATTCATATCCTTAAACTTCATCTTACTCCCTTATTTTTGATAGATTCTCTCGAATAGGCAATTTTTCTGCAAATAATTAAATTCCGATCAAAAAATCAAGTTTCCAAAAGAGAAGCCAAAAAAGGAAAACAAAATTACGGATTCAGTTTGCGGGGTTCAAAATAACCTTATCTTAATTTAAATGATTTTTTTACTAATAACAAATTCCTAGAATAATATTTGTTTTCCTATGTTTGAATCTGCATTTCTTTTCAAATATAACTGGTGAGCAAAACAATTTTTATATGTATTTTTTTACCACAAACATCAATTGACAAAGTCCAAAAAACATAAAAAAGAAGCGATCAAATCAACATGTTGCTAGCAGTGGACTTTGAACAATTGGCAAAAGAGATTAAGAAAAAGAAAAGTCGCAGAAAAGTGTATGCAAATATCGTATTAACACTTTGTTAGTAGGAGTATTTAAAATGTGTTTATGCCATAATGCACTTCGTTGAAAACATCTCCAGAAAAATGTTTTGTTGGCGAATGACATTCGTTGCACCAAAATTGTACCAATAGAGGTCAATTGATTTTTTTGGTACCTGTTTACTCCGTACGGATTCAACTTATTCCTATTCAAGGTATTAGTAAAATATAAATGTTATTTTTATGTATATTTTAACTTTGCCATTTCTTTCACACAAAATTAGTTACATAAAACTGCTTTGGTGATCACTTTAGTAAGCAATTCTCAGTGAGGATTTTTTAAATGCATGATGGCAGTGACTTGTATTCGCATACAGAGACCGAGACGGTTTGATGCAGACTTTGAAAGTGAAATCACTATATAAGTACTGTTCAGCATGAAACACGAAAAGGATGAATGAAACATGGAAAAATATGAACAACATTCCTGCAATGTTTCGTCATTCCTGTTACAGGTGTCGTCCAAACACCACGAGTAACTTTTCAAAAGTTCAGCCTAATGAAAACGGCCAAAATCTACTTCATAATGGAGAGGGATATTTTTAATGGAGACGGCCGAGGGATTTTTGTCATTCTCACATATGTGTGCTTTAAAGAGCTTTACGCTTCGAACTTGCTTACTACAGGGTGATGTAACTGAATTTAAAAACGAAGTAGATGGCCAAAGGCACCAAAACAAAACGAAAGAGAGGTTCGATGTTGTAGTAGCAAGCGTTTGTGCAGTCAGTTGTTGATAAACCACGGAAGAGCGCAGAAGTGTATTATTAGAGCTGTTCGTCGTTCACATTTGTTTACATTCACTGATCGGTCGAAACCTTTTTTTATTGCTTTCTGTTTTTCAACAAACAGTGCATGCCGGGTTTTTTTTATTACAATTTGAAGTGAATACTTGATTAAAATTGCTTACACTTTCTTATTTGAAAGAAACCACATAAAAAAATATAACGAACAGTTTTAATATATATTCGCCGAACACATCCATAACAAAGAAAGATTTATTTAAAGCAAAAATTTAGTGGAAACTGTTTTATTTGGTGTTGTTCTTATTTTGGAGAATCTGCTCGAATTAGTGACTGAAAATTAAGCGAAATATAAAAAAAGGCAAACCGAATTTTGATTATTTTCGTTGTGTGAACAGATTCTCACGTTGAGAGCAACATAACGTTGTCTGGATGGAATTGATTTCATGGGATTGGCAAAAAATCAATATGAAGCCATGATCTATGTTGATTGGTGACGATTGTCTAAGATTTGTATCTGATCTCCTTTTTCGAGATTTTCGCTTACAACGGACAACGAAAATTATGGCAATCATTGGCATAATTATCTATGCAGCAGCGATTCTATGTCGGATCTCATACGGACACCCAAATTATAATAAGGTAACAGTTTATTTTCATAATTGTTTGTTCGGTTTAGCGATTCATCCGCGGTGTTGTTATTGTTGTTTTCTCATCCTTTAAACGCATCGAACAAATCTATTAGCATAGTCACGCTTGCCTGTCTATTTCATCAGATTAGGCCACAAAGTGAACATACAACATTGCATTTTTATTGCAACGATCCAGCGCAGGATGTTGTACAGAAGAAGAAGAAACCACATTGCCGATCATTTCAGTAATTGCTATTCACATCTGCTGCGCTGATATTATCATTTTGATGATATTGATGAACAGTTAAGTTGCGACCAAGCAAAATCGACTGCAAAACGCACGTGAAACAACAACCGAATGAGCATAAAAAAAGACACGAGAGAAATAACATGATATTCTGGTTTTGTTAATCAATTCAATATTTAAATATAATGCAAAATGTGCTAAAAAAGTAGAAAAAAATCAAACCTTTCGAATTAAGTAAATTGAACCATTCGAAATGAAAACGAACACCGGGAAAACGAATCGACATTTTTATTTTGAAACCACAATAAAATTTATTCAAATTAATTCCAACAACTAAACACACATAAAAAACGATCGAAATATAAAAAATATATAATCGTGCCACGGAATATGATAAGAGAAGGATTCAACGAAACCAGAGCAAAGAACGGGCAGAAAAATGCGCGTTTTAATGAATGATCACATTTCCAAAATGACCGAACGCAATGAAAATGACAACAACAACCACATTTTTACACCGAATGTAATGCGACTCGTGTTTAATGGCGTAAAACGTGATTAGTTTATCATACTTCGGGTTACAACGTGCGATGCCAATCAACACACCGTCGCTGCTGTTGTTGTCATCATCATTGTTTCCTTCAAAAGTGTAAAGTAACAATGTATTACTACTTTCGATCGCAGGCACACCGTTAAACGAAACATTTCACTGCATTGCAACTTTTGTTTACATGTTAAATGATTAACATCTTAATTTTCTTCACAACAACAAGAATATCGTTCGATTTATTTCGAAAATAAAACATTTACGAAATGAACGTGTACCGTTGATGAATGCGATGTTGGAATAACTGAGATAATGTGCAGCGTGTGTCGTGTGTCGGTTGAATATTTAATGCGGCCACCGTTCACCTTTAATGAGATTATAATGTTTTAGGAAGTCTTTCGTTTCGATGGGACGGTACACGGTTCTCTCGCAGTTCAGCCACATCATTCTCTTTTCTCTCTTCGATTGCATTCGGACCGGAGTGTTGGCGTCAAACTAAATTTACGACATTTTTCATTCTTTCACACGTTTGTAAAAAAAACGAACTAGGCAATAAAATGCGTTTTCCTTTTATCGCATGCCGCGTGAACGATGGACGATTTTATAAATGGGCACATGTATCGTCCCTTAAAATCCATTTCAGTGTCTGAATTTTTATCTCATCGGAACATTTGTCAAGACGCTTTTAAATGCAATAAAATCTGTTGTCATGAACATGAAGCCATCAACACGCGAGTCGAAGTGTTTTCAAACAAAAGAATTCATCGCGACCATAAACCCATTTTTGTTCTTAACAGTTTTTGTTTTCAACTCGGTGCTTGTAGCAAATTACGCAAGAGACACAGTTCCACGAGCCTTTTATGTCTTTAAAATTGTTTTGGTTTCGTTTTGTCTTTTGGAATCGAATGTTTATGAGTTGTGTGTGTGTGATCACAAAGGCACGTAACAAAATATCATTCTTAAAAACGTCGTTCATAGCAAAGGCTACTGAACATTCTGGTCTATCAACAATAAAAATCGTGTTTCGTTTCCATCTCATCGTCACAAGGTTTCAACATTGGCACGTCTTTTTGTGTACAAGTTTGAAAAGGCATCATTTCGGTAGAGTCCACTGTACACACACTGTGACACCATCAGCAAAACCTACTGCACGTAAGGTTCAAGTAATTTAATCTTGTGTGTCTATACCAATTCTGTCGTGGTTTTTTTTTTTTTTGCCATCCAGTAAAATTGAATGCGAAGATGAACGATCACGATAGCAACGAATATGATGGAAGAAGTTGTGATAATTCAACTCATAATAGCAGCAGTGACGGCGACTGCGTCGGCATGTATCATGTTCCTCATTCAACATGTTTAATATTCCAGCCGTTTATTGGTTGACATGCATTTTTTTTCTCTCGCTCATCATCGCGTTTGTATTATCTTCAATTATGGAAGAAGAAAAAAAGAGTGTGTATTTTTGCAAACAATGTGCGCGCTACATGGAACTCAATACAAATTGCGTACTCGTCTGGAAAAAGACGAATTCTTTTGATTGATGAATGCGACGAATATGCTTCGAAGACAATACGGAATTTTGTGCAAAAACTTAATTAATATAAAAACCAACCGAGGCGGAATACAATAAATTACCAGAATGCGGGATCATTGATGATCATGAATCGGAGAAAAAAATGGTTGTATTACTTTTACGTGCTTGTCATTAATAAAATGATCAATTTGTGTCGTCTTCTAAAAAGATTCGGCATTCGATGTTAATCTGAAAAGCGGATGTGATCATCACAGTCCCATAAATTATTCAATCGACATAGTCGTAGAAGAAATTTGAAAACAATAACAACAAAAGCCATTGCGAAGAAGAGAGAAAACCTACCACTGTTGTCAATACATGTAACAACATAATGTAATATCATTCTTGTTCCCTTTTTTTATATTTCAGGCTCTTGATGCACCCAAATCACCGTCATCAATGGGCGATTTGCTTGGATTTCATCGAAATTTGACACCAACACAATTGCCATGGTTAAATGAAGTCACAACAAACCAATTCGATAGTAGTCATCGAATGACAATTGATGCGGGTACAGTTACACCAAAACCGACAGCCATTCAATTGCATGATGTATTTTTGGCAGTGAAAACAACACAAACAAATCATGCGAAACGTTTGAACATTATATCAAAAACGTGGTTTCAAATGGCCCGTGAACAGGTAATTCTGGTTAAATTTCTCTATTCACCATTGCACTCTCATCAATATTCAATTGATCTCAATTTTTGTTTTTTGTTATTCACTTGCCAACATTTTAACCCAAACAATTAACATTTGAACGATCGCTTTGCTTGGGAATCGATTTTTCGTTGGCTTCAATATTCTTCTTGCTAAAATTCTGTGAAACCATTTTTTTCCGTTCACATCCAATCAAATGGATCCAATCGTACTACATTTTGCTACCGCTTCGAATTGAAAGCCATAACTTAAGATATTATTTCCTTTTGGTGCCGCTTGTGTTCACCTCTTTTTATTCGCTTTTTCCTGCAGCTTGAATTCGGCTTCGACTTTGGCTACACTTGAAACCAATCTGTCCGCAGCGAACGAAAAAAACTATAAAATGAAAACAAAAGAGTGCATTGCACATAAATTAGTTGTCAGTGCTCTCAGTTCGTTTTTTCCCCTTCATCTTAAATGAAATGTTTCATTTAATAATAAAAAAAAAAACAAATCAGTTGATCCAGATGCTACGCATGGCAGCAATTCAGAGCGAAGAAAATCACAATGTTGCAACAACGCTATTTTGCTAGTGTATGCCTCACACAGTTGCAATTCACTTCATCTTGATTATATTTTAATGCATTTTATGCGGCCAATCTCTCTTTCTCCTGCATTCGCCAAGCACACACGAATAAAAGCCGTAATGTATTCTAAATGGCTGGCAAATAAACCGGAAGGATTATTTATACGACGCTGAAAACAGACCGTTTAACATGAACAAATGCGATGAATGAGACATGAAATTCTTCGATAAAGAAAGAACGAATACAGAAAAAACATTGCACAAACGATGAAGTGGATTACAGTGCACAAATTTATTAGCGTAAAGTAATTTTATGCACATCAAACGATGCAAAACAGCGCAGTGAACACATTCATTTTGTAGAAGTCGTATCTAAGGCCATCATCACTGGCATTTATCTAATTGCATGGGCTGATGAAGTAAATGCAATGCAAAAAAAAATGCACATCAATCACGAAGACACACACATCAATATCATCTTACATCGGCACACACCGTTATTGCTGCAGTTGATACAAAGCAAAAATTTCCATATCACAGGTACCAGCAATGGTGTGTATTTGGTCTCGTTTTGTATTATAATTCAATTACAATCGTCCAAGTCGAAACGGAACACCGAACCAAGTCGCAGCACTGATACACATGTTTATTTATTCGAAACGTTTGTTTCACTTTAATTCAAACCATAAACTGACTTGGCAAACATTGAACATGATCTACAGTATGTTGAATGTCTTAAAACAATTTAATGTCAACGGAATGAACGTTAATGATAGCATTTGTACAAGCAATGTAGAAAGCATTTTCCATTCGTCACTCAACTTCGACTTTTCTTCGAAACGACAACTTTTTTTTTGTATGTGTACATTTCATTCGGTCTTGTGTCAACCACAATATCGTCGCTTCATGAGAATAAGCCACTGTCGCATGTATGTGTATGCACTAACAATATTGTTATGACTTTATTCAAAGTAATTGTCGACATTTGCCGCATTCGAATAACATAACCATTTGGGTTGGTTACTTCTTTTTTTTTATAACATCCAATTCTAATGCTTGGTATGAAAAAAAAAACTCGTCTGCGACAACAACATAGCAGCCACAACACTGTGTGATAAAAATGTCATTGCACGCGCAATTGGATGTTATGTGGTGCCAAGCAGAAATCATTTTTCCCACAATCGGAGAAAAAAAAGATATGAAACGAATATCAATTTAAAAGAAACAGCTACTCCAAATTGGCGGCAGCTGAAAGTAACTCTTTTTATTCACAATTAAAATGGTTAACAAGCTCCAAGTTACAACCGAAGGTAGTGTGAGATTCTTTCTTTGCCATACAAAATGCATCACTTCGTTTGCGGAACGGAAAAGCATGCAAAATTATTGATAATTTTGTTCGCAATTTATTAGCCGTTGAATTGATAATGATGCACAATCATCTAGGTGTTTATCGCTTGTGACTATAGTATGTGTAAACCAAGAAGCATTTTAATTTTTCTATTTCATTTGAATATGATTATAAGTGGCCTCGGAATTATGTGTAAATCGATCTAACTTAACACCAGGATTAAGAAATTGGATCTCTCGAAACCGGTTTCACCGCACAAAACTTCGATTGAGAAGAGAACTGCGCGATCGCGCTCACTGGAACCATAAATACAGTTGGTGTCAAAGTGTAGCAGGAATTAAGTGACAATTAATAATGGAAACACAATGTTTTTATGCGATCATTTTGTGTGGAAGAAGAGTTATAATTTTGTTCCCACACATTTATGTGCTGAAACAAAAAAAAAAAAACTGGGGTTCGAATATATGACAACGACATCTCACAATTGAAGCAAATTGAACATAACTCACACTGTTTGGTTTTTGTGCGCAGAGAAAAAAAAAGTTAAAATTATAAAATGTTCTTATTTTTCCATATGCATGGAAGAGGGAAAAAAGGAACAAAATTACGAGGCAGTGGGTCGTGTTATGTTCTACACACTCTAAATACTCTTGCCACTTATTAATACTAAACATGTTTTTAGTTCGTGTTTTTTTCTCATATCATCTGTTCGGTGTGCATGAACTCTCTTACCCACAGCGTTGAACAATTGAACATGGCTTCTGGCTGTATACACTGTTTGTTCGTTCACTGCTTCGTTGAACTCAGAATTTTCATTATTCTGTTGTCGCATTTAATTTCTTGGTAAATGAAGAGAGAATGATAGAAAGATAAAGAGCCGAAGAGAATGAGAGAGAGAGAGTGAGAAGGGGAGAGATAGAGTTTGTCATAACTCGATCAGTTCCGATAACTGCAAAGCAATGGCAAACTGAATAATTATGTTTTGTTGATTCCATGTGCGTAGGAGGAACATTTTGAAAATGTTTTAATCAAAGTGCAACCATAAAACCCAAGTGTTGATTTTCAGAATTGTAAATCCCATTAAAGGTTTTTATTATGCTCTGCATGAATATTGTGCACGGTCATAAAAATTATAACTTTGTCAAAACTACTCGATCAAAAAAAGGCACCCGAAAAGAATACTTCAAGTAGACACTTGCCCGATCGATGATTGTGAGGTCGGACGAACATTTTCGAACGGTTCTTCAATGTTTGTTTTTTTTTCTTAACATTTTACAAAGAGTAAATATCCATTTGTGTGATTAGATCAGGTTTAAACAACCGCATTTCAAGCGAACTGCACGCAATTTTTGATGCTAAAAAAATGAACTCTGTTTACTTAGGACCGACTCAATCTTTCGGTGTGCTCCTTTTTATACCTCGGCCAAATGTTGTGTTTATCTAAATCTTTGCTGTGGAAATTTCATCTTAAGCAAATACTGCAGTGTTAAACGATATCCTCACGTCAATATTTTCTTTTCAATCGAAGGGCAAAGCAAAATAAGAGACTAGAGCGGTTGGTCAAATAGCCATTTAAAATTTTTAATTGAAATGCCATAAAAGAAGTATGTTCAACCGTCACATTTTAATTTATTCGTTCGAAAGATCGTGCGATTGCCAGTTGCATTGATTGACGATAGGTTGGCAGCGCGATCCATCCATTTCGATTTGTTTATCAACTATTAAGGAAATATGTTGACGCATTTGTTTTCACCATTTTTCATTTTTTTTTTTTAAATCTCAAATGCAATGTTTTATGGATGTGCTATCGCTCTATTTACTCTCATCCAAACAGAATGATGTGTGTACACAGTGTCCGAACCCAGCGATGAAAAAAAAAATACACCTCATATATACACATAAAATCTCAGAAGTGAAGAGAAAAACAAAGTCATAAATATTTAAACGATAAATAAACTTGTTTAAAATTTCAATTTGAAGATTTGAATGTGAGACACAAATCTTGTTTGTGGAATGCATTGTTGTAGCGATGCGGCAAGAAGAGATAAAATGACGATAAGAGCACACAGTGCGCTCGTAGCCAATTCCTAGGAAATCACTTCGTTAGTTTCAACCAGTTAAATCATTAATTGAATTTAAATGAAGGCGAGAAAACGAACGATATGTCATTTGTTTTCAGCTCTTGTCCATCAAAATTGGAAGTGGAACGAAACAGAAACGCTCAAAATCAGAGAGCCACAAAATGGACGGTAAAATCTTGAGTGGCAACGTAGGGCCACTCATCTCATAAACAAAACAGATGCTTGGCTACAAAAAAAAAACATCAATCAAACAAACAGTAAACTTATTCTGACTGTTTTGTGGCGAACGAAAATATATTATTTTACGATGAAATGGTTTGCATTTTTCGTTCATTCGAACGCCCGAGTGAAAGAAAAACAAATAAAAAATCACCGATTTATGACTTCAATTGCCACTTGTTCGTAGGTTGTTGTTATGTTTCGCCATTCGTAAAGTTTGGCTATAAACCGAAAAGTATCGATCGACGCTCATTTGGCCGAGAAGAGAAATGCATAAAAATTCAAAACGAAAAAAGAAACTTGTTTTAACCAGAAATCAAGTACGAGAGAGAGTGAATTAAGAGAAAAACACTTGTGCCCTAAAATGTATTTGCACGAGATGCACTTGCGTCTTAAATTGCCCTCACAAACGTTCAGAAGAGAATGACTGAAGGAACAGTGTAGAAAGAGCCAAAATTTACATAATTGCCGCAATTATCTCGTATTTTTGTAAGATCGTTGCAGTTTTTTTTCTTCATCTCTTTGATGCAGGCCACAAATGCACATACGTTTTTTTTTGTTCGTATTTGGATTGAAAGTGCCATTAACCATTGAACAAATGCCCGCAAGTTGAGAAGAAGAAGAAGTAAACCGAAGACCAAATCCAAAGTGTTTTCATTTTGGTAAATGAACGCAAGTAAACGATATATTATAGCATCGTTCGCTTTTATGCAATCGCTCGATATATCTCCTTTCCGCCTCCTCAACAGTGAGGTACGCGACCGGTCATTGCAATCGATCGATTAATTTTTTTTCTGTTTCGATTACGCGTGCACATACTTTTTCGAATCGTTTGGCGCATCTTTAGACCAGAATATTAATGGCAATTCATCGAAACCTCTGCATTAAATGTGCGTCTTCGGCGAAGACATTTTTTAATCAATATCCAACCTTTTTCGGCTATGTAGCGTGCCAACAACCACTATTCTCGTGTGTCCGCGCATTTCACTTCGTACACTTTAATTTGATTTTAATCTTAAGAAATCGCCTGCAGAACACATTTGAGTATTCAACTCGTTATCATTACGTACGTACGTCACATTGAAAAAAAAAAGAGAGCAATGAAATGGGCCGAACAAAAAATCATAGCATTTAAGGAGAGAAAAATTACGGCTGTTGCCATTAAAAAAAAATTCGTCGTTGTTGCGTGACAAACATTCCGACAAAATGCTTTGAAATTAAAATTATAGTCATGACGTAATTACAGTTCTGTCGTCTTTCGATTGAGTGTACAAAATGTTACCGAGAAAAAAAATTATATTTGCAATCAATTTACACATATTTTTTTTCTCTTCGCAGGAAAAGAACCACAAAAAAATTTCTGCAAGAAATTGAGCATTTTTTAATGTATTTTTTTGTTTTTCATTGTCCTTTTACAGACATGGTTTTTTACGGATGCCAACGACGATTTCTACAATATGCGATTGAACAAACATTTGATCAACACAAAATGCCCAAAAGGCCATTCGAGACGTGCATTATGCTGTAAAATGGCCGCAGAACTTATAACATTTCTGGAACATCGAAAAAAGTAAGTCACCATAGTAAGCAGATAAACGAACACACGAAGGAAAAAAACAACAGCAACAATCCAACGCGAATAACAACAACGTTCTTTACCATCCACCCCACTGAAGTCGATGGGCATTTCTTGGCACAGTTCAGTGCGCACGCAGCTGTTAGGCATAAATTCAGTCTATTTCACAAAACCATAAATTACCATTGTTTTACCGAAGAAAAAAAAGTATATACGCGAGGCGCTTTCTTTTTTTTGCCGAAGCAAGGAATTTTCGATTTAAAGAGTAACTCTTTCTTGTTTAGAAAAACCGTCGACGCTTGGATAATGATTAATTAACAAAAACTCTATTTAATTTATGATCGCTTCCATTACTCACGGATTTCACCGTTAAATATTCTGTGTTGAATCCATGTACTTCTATTAGGTAGGAAAACACTCCGTGACGATTATGGCAAACACTTTTCGAACCTCATTTTTGAAGCAACAGCACAAAAAAAATGCTAATTGATCGTGGCGTTCAGATAATATTTTTCATTAGCTTCTACATTAGCACATACGGGTCAAATCGTTCTTATATGCCTGGTTGTATCGTTCTTTTTTTTTTCAATATGAATGCAATGGAGGAAAAAAGAGTTTCTCAAACTATCCATTAAGATCAGATAATGTGCGATAGAGTTTTAGTTTTGAATTAAAGCCATTCGCCATCCATATTTGAACGATGGCAACCGCTAAGAACCATGTTGCACCGATTTTCGTTTGAACGGGCGTTTCATTGTGTGCCCTGCACTTACTTGAAAACTAATTAAATTAGATTTTCGATTTATTCGTATGTGTTCTTCAATTTTCTCAATCATTCATCTTTATTACAATTTTGGTTGTTCGTTCTCGCCGCCCGATGTTATTATTACATGCCACAGCTGCTGCGTATCAAACCACCGATCGACGTGATTTTTATATATGTTCAAGATCTTTTCTCGTTCTGTTTAATTTGATGCTCGTGCATGACCACCATTGTCGACGGTACGGCGAAATTGAAACCATTTTTCTGCCTTTCATTAAGTATCACTTCACGGATACAAATCAAAGCACAATTGATGCATCCGGCCAAAATGTTTCAACAACGACTTTCGATTTTACGCTTCACCACAAATCGACACTTGACAGAGACGCATTTAACCATTTCAGTTAGTTGTCTCATCATCTCAATACATAAACAATATTATGTTATCAAATGAAAAGTTTCTGATTTTATAATACGGCAGTTTATCTTTTTGATTAACGATCAGACATATCAACCGCGAAGACATAAAAAACAATCAAAAGATTGTAAAAAAGTTATTGTTTCATAAAATCTAATGAAATTGAATTTTTTTCCGGGGTAAATTACTTCATTTCAAAATATATCAATTTTACAATTACGACCAATACACGATTCATATAGCAAATGATCAAGAAAATTATTTAATCAAAGTGTAATGACTTTATTTGTTGGAATTTGACGCAAACAATTACAATTGATTGACTCTAATGAATCATTAAATGTTTGTTTGTTTTAGATGGTTTTGTCATTTTGATGACGACAATTATGTGAACATTGCGCAGCTTCAACTGTTACTGAGTGAATATGATTCATCGTCATTATGGTATTTGGGAAAACCGAGTGTGGCATCACCATTGGAAGTGAAATTAAGCGAGGTAAGTCGAAGAGCTACCATTCGAAAGAAACGTAATTTAATTCTGAATTACAACCATTTGAAAGAAAATGAAAGAAAATTGATTAAATTCTTTTTTAATTCTTAATGTTCGTGTCTCTTTTTTGTAGACTACCGATCATCGAGCTCAATTTTGGTTTGCAACGGGTGGTGCTGGATTTTGTATAAGTCGACCGCTCGTACAAAAAATGGCTCCAGTCATTCGAAACGAAAAACTAATGACAATCAGCGATCGCATTGGATTTCCGGACGATGTAACCATTGGTTTTATAATTGGTACGACAAAACAAAACTATTTTTATCATTTATACTTTTGAAAACATGATTATAATGACTTTCATTTCATTGTGTGCGCAGAGTATTTGTTGAAAGTGCCGTTGACTGTTATCGATGAATTTCATTCACATTTGGAGCCACTCGACCAGATTCCACCGCAGACGTTTCGCAAGCAAGTATGTTGTCATCAATGAATAACGTTGCCGTAATTAAAACAATTTGAAACTAAAATTACATTTTTTTTTGCTTTCTTCCAACAGATTTCCTACAGTTATGCATTCGAAAACAATGCGAAGAATGTCGTTAAAGTGGACGGATTCAATGAACGCACGGATCCAACGAGATTTTTGTCATTGCATTGTCACCTGTTTCCGCAACAGAATTCTTGTTCGCTGAAGAAACATTCTGGATTCGTTCAAAAAAAATCTCCGTTAACCAAATAAATTAAAAGTATTTGATGGATGGCAAAGATGAATGCAACACGTTAACCAAATAAATAAAAGTGAAATTATCTTAAGTTGGCTAGGGCTGTGATCATTTGTAAAATAGCTGTAATCTCAATGAAAATGTGAAAATTTTTGAAAATAAGAAAAAAAAATCAAGAATTTTATTTTAAATTAGCTTGAAGAGTCTTAAACAAGCACAAAAGAAAATCATAAGATATTTTAAAAATGACTTTGAATACATATAATTGGTTCTGATTTCTTTATTTATGGAATCATTCGAATACATTATGCTTTATGGAAAGTTAGTTTTCTGCATACATTTCTCAATCGTATTATTTTGATAACATATTGTAGTTTTTAGTGGTGTCTTTATTTGACAGAAATACAAACTATTTCAATGGAATAAGTGTATATGCCTAGTTGTTCTTTCTTTCATTATATCGAAATTGTTCATTTGTGCATCGAATTTTCATTCGTTGCTTCTCTATTGCAACAGATTTTTTGTGCTCTAAACCATTTTTGGTCGTTAAGAAAATGTGAATTCCTGTATTTGGGTTACTTTCTTCACGGCTGAAACGAAAATTTCATTGCGACTAAAATGACAATACTTGAACTGCTGCTTTCTTTCAAAAACCACTTGGCTGTTCCTTTCGAACGACAGTTGAAATAAAATCGTAATTCATGAGCTTTATAGAAAGCGACCCAAATTCAAAAGTTCCCAAAAAAATCAAAATATATTTTTCGTTGAAAACATACAATGATTTTTAGATAGGATAGATGCGTAAGATCTCCGCAAGATCCAGATCCAAGCGTGCGTACGCTGCCGCATGATGCATACATATATAATACGCACGCAAATTCGTTATTCTTATTTCCCCTTCTTTGATTCGCATGCCATAGCATTACGGAGTAAGGAATGTATGTATCATGCGGCTACGTACGCACGCTTGGATCCGGATCTTGCGGAGATCTTACGGATCTATTCTATCCAAAAATCATTGTATGGTTGAAAATGTCGATTTGATTGTGTGAAACGAAAGAGTTCGCTTTTGATTCGATTCAAATATATTAATATTGACTAAGAAAATTTTGATTTCACTAAATACAGACGAAAAACATATTGGAAGCAATTTTCAGTACTTTTCATCATACTGATTATTCAGACAGAAATTTCACTAATAAATCATTCTGTGTTTAATATTTATCGTATCGATTTCACGAAATTTCTTGAAAATAAAATTTCTTTTGATAAAATAGAAGCAATATTTAAATAAATAAATAAAAAATATTTCATTTGAAAAAAATTCTAAATTTAATTTTAGTAGCTCATGGAAAAGGGCATTAGATGTATATATAATTTGATTTTCCTACAATATATATGTAACCGATCAGGTTCCTTATTTTCGTTCTCTCATTTTTCCGCATAATATTAGTTTGTGTAGAATTAGTAATTTGTGTTGCTTCGATGTAGATTCTTTATGTTGACGATGCAATCTCTGTGCATCGCACTCAAAGAAGAAAAAAACTCTTACATACTGAGGAGTGATAAATCTGTCAAGTTTAATGTGAGTGTGTGACAAAAAAAGTACACGAACTATTCCAACCGAACAAAATTGTGCGTTTCGGGTCCATTGTTGTTTTTGTCGTTGCACTATACGGATTTTAAAAAAAATAAACATTGGCTTGATACACGACATACAGTCAACAAATTAAAAATCAGGTTGATCAAAGAAAAAAATCTAAAATCATTGCTTGTTGTTTAGCGTCATTGAATCGGCTCCAAACCGACCACAGAAAAACAAAACTCGTTATTCATTCGTGCGCCATAACACATGTGCGGATTGCATTACAAGTTCTAATTTACAATGTGGGATGTTCAATTTGAAATGCAGATTTTTCCACTCGACACACGCACACACCAAACAAGAGAACAAAACAAACAAATTAAACATCAATAACGCTATCGTTTTTCTTATTCATCTCCAAAATCGCGTTTGTTTTGAGTTTTTCCTGCATTTGCACCAGTTTGTCTTGCATTCGACGAATCTGAAATCGAAAATTTTTGTTTTTAAAATCGTTTTCTTTTTTCATTTCTCGGTTTTGTAATCGATATTTCGGAAATCGGTAATAAAAAAACAAACCTCTTCATCTTTTTGTAGAAGTAAACGATCGGTTTCACTGATTGTATCGAATGATTTTGTATCATTTGATGATACAGATTCACGTTTGGATTTACTTCGATCGCGCATTGCGTGCTGTGATATCTGTGAAATGCACTGGGCACGATAGTTTTCGTAATGAACATCTTGTGTGGTGTCTTTTAAATCTTGCATATGGGTTGAAATCAACATTCGCCGCAACTTTATGAAGTCACTGTGCTGTGGATTCTCAACTAATTTGAGACGGGAGACAGAAGAAAATTGTGAGATAAGATTTTATTTACACTTTTAGACTATAAATAGCATCAAAAGAGAATATATTGTTTACCTTCAACGCAGCCCCACGAATACGTTCGACATCTCACCTGGAAATCGAGAAGAAAAATGTGTTATGAAAAATATTGCAAAAAATGTGTTCATTGAAATTGTGATTGACAGTGCAAAATTGGGTCACAAGTGTTAGTTGGCACTACCACCATGGTAGATTGATGAATCATCAATAATGATTCATAAAATTGATAAGTAGGCAGTCGTCTGCAAAATCGAATGTTGTTTTTTCTTCATAAAGCAGTGAGAAAAAACAAAAACTGTATTTTCTTTTATTGTGTCCGGTGACTCACCTTTTTGCCACCAACTTCAACAAGACTGTTGCTTGCGACAATAGCAAATGGAATGCTTTCTTTGAGTTCACGATCTTGTTGCTTGAATTCTTCATCTTCATCGGAATCACAATCGGGAAATTGATACAAATCAATTTTATGCGTTTCCAAATCGTTTAAAATGTTTGTTTTGAGCCGTTTCATTTCGTTGGTTGTGAGTGCATCTGCTTTCGCAATTACAAGTACAACATTCACTTTTTTGTGCAATCGACGCAGAAAATCAATATCCATCTGACGAAGACCATGACCATACGGCGGTACAAAGTATAAACAACAATGTACACGATTATCTTGAATATTTCTGCGATTCAAACCGCTCTCGTCCGTAAAGAATTGACGATACTAAAATAGAAATCAAACAAATTCATTAAATATCGAAGTGTATTTGATTGTCCGAGAATGAATGTGAGACTTCTCCTGAGAGTTTATTGAAATGTAACACCGCCATACAAAAAATGCTGACTGTCAGCAATTTTTGTATGGCGGTGTTACATTTCAATAAACTCTCAGGAGAAGTCTCACATTCACTCTCGGACATTCATTTGATGTTTGCAATTTCTTACTTGATCGTCGATGTAGTTGATGACGGTTCGCCAGCTTTCTTCGCTATTGATGCTGTCACCAAAACCAGGTGTATCAACAATGGTTAAACGTAATTTAACGCCTCGTTCTTCGATTTCCATTTGTTTCTTTTCGATTTGTGTGGTACGTTCAAGGCGTTCGGTCACCGTTGGTACAACACGATTCTTGTACAAATCGCCCAAAAACAGCGAATTGATTAGAGTTGACTTGCCTGCCAAAATACCAAACAATATTTTAAATGATTTTATGATACATTATTTGAAAATTTGTAATTGACATGCCTAGTCCAGTTTCGCCTGCCACTAATAATGTAAAATCAAAACCACGTTTCACTGATTTTCGATGGACTTGCTCGGGCAGTGTGGCAAAACCGATGTAATCTCGATCGAAGCTATTTCGCACACCTAACAACAACAACAACAAAAATCCACACAATCAATATATCAACAGTAGAAATAAACATTGGAAATTTATTTAGTTATTTTGCACTCGAAGTTCAATGAATGCAACAAAATGCAATAAAACGAGAGAAATAGAGTGAAAAAAAAATGCAAAAATGCACTCACCAGCCATGTTTTATCTCAGAATTTTCTTTTTGGCAAACGATTTTGGTGAATATATACGCACCCTGTTTTCTTTAATCACACATACATAAAAATTTCCGCTCTTCACTTTGTCACACTGACTTTTAAACTTTCGTTTCGCACATTTATGATTAAAACAAAAAGTTCAATATTGCTGGTTTAATAAAAATAAAACAAATTAAATGTGTTTTGCACTTGATAAACAACAATCATATAGAAAAAAATTACAAACAATTGTGTATTTATGAGAATGACTCTCTTTCACTTCCATCTACGGCAAAAACTCACTTCTAATGATTTCTCGTTTTGAATCGCAAAATGTTTGTTCGCGCTGCTCAAAACCATCACACCCCTCCGAAATGAACGAACGTTTTTATCATGTGTGCACTACATTAGGGCATATGAAATGTGAATGTGAATGTGTGTGTGTGTATGTGTATTGCCCGAATCCCGTTCACCATCTCATTCACTCTAATCATTGTTATTGAATATTAACCAAATGAAACGAGCGCGCGCACGCAACATATATGTGTATGTGAGTGTTGTAAACAGACTGTTGTATGGTGAAGTTTATACCGTAGATGCAAACGGCAATCGGTCTATTTATATTTCACAATGCGCCGAATCCAACATTTATTATTCTTTCCGTATCTCGGTTGTGTGTTATTTATTTCTCTCTTTTTTTTCTATTATTTCACCGCATGTTCACCGAACGACCAACAAACAACTATGCACATATGAACTGTGTATATATAAATTTCAACGAATAGTACTGATTATGTTGCACATATACCACGAAAAAGAAAACGTCTCGAACGTGAGGAGCAAGTTGACGATGAGCAACGGAAAAATGGAATAAATCGATATAGCGAGTTGTGTCTTTACTCGTTGATGACTACAATGAAACTGTCGTACGTTTTGATTTCAGCAGAGGCTAGATGTATGTTATGTACGTGTGTGCATGCATGTGTGAGTGTGTGGTTAGGGTGACGCGATGTGCTAACACATTCAATTTTCAAATTTGGAATTTCAAGCGAAATAATAATAAAAAAAACCACATCGTTATACTAGCAAAACGTCTTGCGTTCGATACTTTCAAACCAATTATCGCCTGGTGTTTACCGGCATCATAAATATCTCTTTACACATTTATATTGGTTTCGATGCCAATGCAATATTGTATGGTTTCATCGTCGTTTCATCAGTCGTCGGCATATTTATGAAACAACCGTTAAATATGCATGACATCTTTGCCAAACATGGCTATATGTATACACACAGTCAGCATAATTTCGCACAGGAAAATTGAATGAAACGAAAAAGAAGAAAAGAAGAAGCAGAAAAAAACAATCAAAATAGTTTTGAATTTTTTTTATTTCCATGGAGAATTGTTTATTTCACTTAAAGTGTTTCTGATTCGTTTTACGCATTTCATATTGCGTTTGCACTACAAATAGATTAAATTTACTCTCTATTTTCATTCATGATGATTAACTAATAAAATAAATAAGCTAAGATGATGTGGAAACATAGAAATTAAGAGAATGTAAATTTGACAAAAGAAATACTTCCTATTTAAATAAACACACTGTGATGACATACAGGATATGGAATGGATGATATTTTGCCTATTTTTCGATTCAATAGATTTAAAAAAAAATACTCTAAAAATGCACTTTGAATTGATAATTGGGTGTCCTCTGTAACTGACTCTATCGGAATAAGAATAACAACAATGTCACTTTGGTTCCGTGTGGTTCGTCTTTCCTTTTTTCCGTATCTCCGTCTCAACGATTGAAGTTCAATCATACATTCTCAATAAACAAACATTCTCTGTTCTATATTGATAATTCTTTTTTTTTGTGTGTTTCTATTGATCGCGAAGGCGATTATAACTTGTCAATATCGCTATACTATATATAATAAAAATTGTTGTCATAACAGACCATGAATTTTTAATTAACTCGCATACAATTGATAATGGTGGTTTAAAACAATGTGACGACAATGGCATATCATCACAATGAATATTCAATTAAAAAAAAATTCTTGCGATCGCTTCAATTCAACAATATAGAGATAGACTGTTTCTGTGTATTGCATTTCAATGTACAAAAACGAAAAAAGATAATAAAGAAACTAACTATCGGTCATAATAAAAAAAAAACGTGTAAAACAATAAAATGTGTTTGTTTTTCTTTGAATACTAAATGTTATTCACTTATTATAAACAATGTGAGATTTGTTGGTGGTTGTGGTGGTGATGATGATATTGATGAGCGCGGAAATAACAGCATTGAGTTGATCAGACGATCATATTGCTGATCGATCTTATCCGAATAAATTGTTGAGCAGACTGCTCAGTCCGTTGCCGATGTTTCCCATAAACGATTGATCGGCCACGGGTTGTGGTGGTGGCCGGTACATTTGATGCTGGTGAGTGGATTGCATTGGCCGATAGTATGGACCGTCATTTCGCTACAAATAGATAATATAACATTGTCATATCAAGTACCAATTGGAACCAGAGAATGTAGCTGACCGAATTTACTCAACACATGGCTATTACATTTCTATTTTGTGACATTTCAATTCAGTGAATAGATTGGGCTACATCTATAGCAGTGCTATTTTCACAGCTCCTAATCATAGGTGCTATTTGTGAACAACACATATGGACAGCGATTTCATGAAATAATTCCGGACAATAGACTACTGTTCTATTGACATTTTGAACATTTCGTTCGGAATTGTATCATAAATTCGCTGTCCGTATGCGTTGTTCACAAATAGCACCTATGAATAGGGGCTGTGAAAATAGCACTGCTATATCTGTAGCCCAATCTATTCACTGTTTCAATTTTGCGAATACACTCATTGAGTCACTTCAATATTCAGTGACCATTTGGTTCAACCAAAGCATGGAGCGATGAATTTAGATGTTAATAAAATGTAAAAGCTGCAAATTCAGTCAAATTCATTCTCTGATTGAAACTAATCGAAATCTGATTGAAACTAAACGAAAGAGCGGAAAAGACAAAAACGAGAGAGAACAAAATACGGTAAGCGAAACCACAAAACAAAAACAAAACCAACAACAAAATCGCACACTACAAAATAATTAGAAGCAATTTAACCGAAACAACATTTGAATGATATGTTAATTGAATTCGACCAGTAAAAACATAAACATGCGAGCACATACAAAACGGAATGGTATGGGCAATGAATGAATTGAAATGAATACAATGGAATTTACACGCCACTTAAGTGCGTCTCATAAAATCAATGAAATACGTACACAAAGACAGCAAACAGTGAATCGTGCACAAGCAATTTAAATCATAAAAGCATGCAAAAAGAGCGCGAGAGAGCGACTGTGTGTGGGTGAACGTATCAGGATTCTCATTTAACTTACAAAACATTCTATTTGGATAATTTGTGTAACTCAATCTTTTTTTGCTATTTAGTTTTCCATTTCCATTGAGAAATTGAAACGATATCGAAGGTTCTAGAGTTGATTATATGTGTAGGCCAAATGGAATTTATTCTATAGATAATACCAAAATGATTTTGTTCAATTTTTGGGGTAAGTGCGTGGGTTTCATTTGGGATTCTTTTTTTTTTTTTTTTTTTCAATTTACGATGGAAAAACTACGCGATCGTCATTATTTTGTTGTTTATTTTTGCTGGAGGCTCTATAGGTATGATGCTGGTATTGTTGTTTGGGTTTTGGATATTTTTGCTACAAAATTGAATTTTTATTTACAAAATGCCACGGAAAAATGATTCAAAATTGTATTTGCGCCCACCTTTGAACCTTGCAGTGTCACATTCAATAGTGTTGGATGCTGTTCAACGACCATAAAATCAATTTCACGTGGTGCAAAACCATCGGCATACACTTCAAGTTTGTAGATGCCAGGCAATAGAATTCGCCAGAATTCACCGTATCGAGTTGTTTGGAAGCCAACATCGCGACCTTTTATTTTCAATGAGGCACGTTCAATTGGTAAACCATTACCATCCGTAACGAATCCCTGCACACCACGATGTGCTTCGGCTAAGAATTTGATCATTGACAACTGATTATCGTCCCAATATTTGCGCAATTCATGAGCCGGTGGGAATTTGCAACAAGACACCTCCTATCGGAACAGATTTATAGACATATTGGCATTGAAAAGTTGTTGGAAGGGATTTCGAACGGCTTTTTTTAGTTACTTACAAGTGTCACTTCCATGCAACCGTGCCAGACGTAGTTGTAATCCTATAAACAGAAGAAAAAAACAATCAACAATTTCAATGTGGACTTCTCAGCAAATCTAAAATAAACTCACCTGCATGCCTCCGACAAGTGGATACTAAAAAAAGATGACATCAAATCAAAGAAAAAAATATATATCATTTTCAAAAAACAACCACAAGTGCATCTTTAAAAGCACATTAAATAAAATAATTAAGCTGTTTAACGTACCCACTGAGCTCCATTAGTAATGCCCTGTTCGAATTGCGGTGTAGCCGATTTGCACGCCACGCCACGCGACATTTTTGCGTGGTTATTCGCATATGTTAACGATAAATGCTTAAATACATCATCGTCTGGGGTCAACGATGGCTGTGACGCATAATTTTGGAACACTGCACCGAGTAGGGAATATGTAATGAGGAAAAACGAACAAAAAAACAAGTTATTGCATTTGAGTAGTGAAGGCACTGTCCAAACGAACATCTAATTTTAATAATAATGCACTGACGCACGTGACGGCTTTAATTCAGAGACACACTTACTTTTACATAAAACCGACGACCTACAAATTCCTTTAGATCAGACATATTTTCAATTGGGGAAAAAGAAAACGACATTTTTTATGTATCGTATTACAGAGAGACATTGAGATCGATTCACTTTGGTTGTTAAAGAAAATGAAAGAGTATAACGAAAAACATGAATGTGCTAAAATGAGAATATCTCGTTGGCGAAAATAATAACAACAAAAAAACATTTGAGAGCGCACGAGAGAAAGAGAATGAAAAAAAACGCAATTGAAGAAGTAAAAAAGTAAGCGGAACTAAAGCTATAAAATTACACTTAAACCTGAACTTGACACTCTTTGCCATTCATGGATCTAATGCGTGTATTCAATACAAAATAGAAGCAAAGAAGAAGAAAACATTGATTTTCTACTTCAATTTCATATAAAACGATCAATTAGAACACTTTCTCCGCTCCGATTTCGCATTGAAACAACGTAAACTGATTCATTCGACGCATATCAAATTGTGGAAAATCAAATGGGAATTCGCACTTAAATTGAGTCTTCAATTTCTTTTCTTTGGTTTAACAAGATTCATTTTCGATGCGAAATAGATACTTACTAGAATTTGGCGTATTATCATATGGATATGATGCGACCAAAGCTCCTCCATGCAATGAGCCGCTCAACACAAATTGAATTTTTGATATCCACTCTTTTGGGGAGATAAATAAATTTAAAAAGCTTAAATTTATAAATGTTTATTTGATCAGTTTTTTTCATTGATTAAATATTTAAATTACCTTTGACAGCATCGGTTTCGGGTTGCTCACGTTTTGTATTTGGTTTAAAATAGTCGGGAAAATTGCGATTTAAATCAAAACCACGTGCATTGTATCTTCCTTGGGCTCCATCGCAACTTCCTTCTTTTGAAGCCGCATACCCGTCTGGATTCATCGATGGTAAAAAGTGAATGCGAGTGTTATCAAGTAGCCATCGAATGTATGGATCGGCTGAATAACTTGACACCAAATATTGAATCATATGCAATAGCATCTCTTTTCCGACAGGTTCGTTGCCATGTATATTTCCAATGTATTTTACATCTGGTTTGCCGATCATATGCTCGTATGGCGATGATGACACCACCAAAACCCATAATTCTTTGCCCTGCACCGATTTTCCAATCGAATACAATGCCGTTAAGTTTGGATAACGAGCACTGGTCGCTCTATGGACAATATGAATAAACTCTTTTGAACTCTAATACAAAAGTATTTCAATGGATGAGCAAAAATTACCTTAAAAATCGCGTCATTTCATCGTGATTGTGATAAACAAAATCAAGTAAACCCGGATCCGGTGTATAAGCTCGTGAGCCAGCGTAATCATTTAACGTATTTAATTGTTGTGATGTGCAAGTTTCAATATTTACATTAATCACAAATGCAAACAGCGTGACTGCAGCAGCTAATGTTCCAAATGACTGTGAAAATGCCATTTTTTTCGTTCCCAAATTCGTTCTAAAAAAAATCGCATGAGAAAAGTTTCTAACTAAAAAAAGCTTAACTTTTGCTTTCAAAATCTACAACAATCATTGAGAATGAAACAATCGAAATGTAAAGGTCAGTCGTGATTGCTAAACAATTTGCTAATTGAACAAATTTCCGCTGAGAATCCTAATGAATAACTGATTTGATGTTATGTAACTTCTTTTTTTCTTCATTTGTTTTCACTTTGAGCGTAAAAAAAATCTTTCAATGAATGTTTGTTTAAAAAAATTAACTTTTCATATAGAAATTTTGCACGCTTAAATTTATGTTAAAATTAGACCGTCATAATTGTGCAACAACTGTATGACCTAATCAGTTTACGTTGAAATGAATTTCAATGCAATATTGGCCATTTGACACAATCAACGTCAATTTGGATGTTTATCCGGGCCAAAACACAATAAATTTACTTTCTCTCATTAAATGTGCCTCATTTTGTCACAACAGTAGGTTTTTTTGTTCAACGGAAAACCCAGCAGAAAAAGCAATGTATGGCAAGTGTCAGGGTCTAAATACGGGTTTAATTGCGGTGGTTTCCATTTTTATTTTGAATTAACACATTCAACGTTATACAAATGAATAAATAAATATGCATGAAATCAGCTGAAATGATCAGTGAATTGAAGATCAATTGATAACATGACACGTTGAAATTTTGTTCAATGGCCAAAGGTTCTCTTTGTTCGTTGAATCATTCTAAAAATATATATTCGAAATGGAATTCCCAACGAAGATTTAATTTTAAAGAACATATGAACACTTTTGAAAAGAATGGCAAAGATTATTGACTTTTCACAGTGAACGTGTTAACATGTGAGATATACCAGTTCTTTTTGCGACGTATTTTAAATGCAAGAACACGAAGAACAAGTTCATGTATCTAAAGTTAATATCGTAACTTTTTCTCTGGTGAAATGTGAGCTGTTGCTCTATTAAGTTATGATGCATGAATTTTGCATTTTTAATCATGTTTTTAGTTTATTAATACGTTTTTTTTTCACTTTATACGACGTATCTATTTCACACAGAACATCGATTTGAAAAGTTTATTTCTCTGTGTGTCTTCCTCTATCTACCTCTCTCTTTCATTCTCAATCTCTCGCTCGAGCTGTTTGAAAATGATGTTAATTGTTTTTATTTCCGTCAAAATGATTGTATTGATACAAACGTGTTCATTGAATGTTTTGCATGTGTGAAGCACATCGGTAACACTAGGCAACAATCGGCTCGTACATCGGCTCATGATCAATGTATAGCTAAAGAAATTAGCACAAGCTTCAGTCGAGTCATTCTTTGTCTGGTATTTGTTTTTGTCGTGTGCCAGATTTTCGAAGCGATTAGAGAGAGACACACAGAGAGAGAAATAGAGAAAGAGAGAGAACAACATGATTCCAGAATTAACAAGCCACGCAAGCAACTCTCACACCCTAGAATCGCGTCGGTTTAATTGTATGACTTATTCAATGAATTAAAACTAAAAGAAATAGAGTAACTACTATTTGACAAAAATTGCGCCTCCCTTAACCCAGTGGCCTAAATAATCTGGCATTTTATATGTGTTGCGCTTGTTTTTCTTTGCCGTTAAACTTGTTTGATTTCATTACGAAAATGTGCTATTAAAAGAATGACTTGTTCGCGGCTAAACTTGCGTGCCATACGTAAACTGATATTATTGCTTCTGCTGCCGCTGCTTGAATTCAGTGATGGCATTACAGTTGAAGTTATTTTGAATTGCACGAACCGATTAAGAACAACCATACAGCAGAGACGATGGTAAAGTGAAACGAAGATGATTTACTCGTGTTCCGCATTCTTATAGCGATTAAATGAAAAAGAAACGCTCATTTCATGAGCATGTATATTCATGTTTACAGAATGGAGACGCGCATCGTCTTCGTTGTCATTATCATTTATGGTATTGAGCGCGAGTGTGCAACATTTTCAATGCAAAATTATGTATACCTCTACGAGCCCCAACAGACGACTAAGCTCGGTGTGAACGATATGTAGTCACTTCTGCTGCTGCTGCTGCTGCTGATGCATTCACATATGCATATATTGACATATATTTATATATGTATGTATCTTTGGCCACGTAACATTGAAAAAAATGAACGGCTTCAAATAGAAACTCATCATTTATCCGTGACCATGACCATGTTATCAAGAGCGCACAGCAGATTTTGTCAAAAACAGATATTTTTGATTAAAATTACGGAAAAGACTGCAATTCAATGATTTTGTTTTTATTTTTTTTAAATGCGATAAAGAAAAAAAATGCACACACACACTTAATTTTATAGAAATTGGTCGTCGAAAAAACAAAGAATATTCACAGCGAAGAGAAAGAAATTTCATACGGAGATATGCAAATTTCTTTTTTCTTTTCAATCTTTCGTTTCATCGAATTGAGGTCTAGAAAACGTGCTATATTTATCCATGATTCATATATTTACTTTTCGATTAACTTACCAAAAAAAAGTTAGTCAATTTTAAAAATGCATAAATGCGTTTCGATGATATTGTTATTTTTAGATTTTGTCCCAAAATAATGTCAAAGTCAACAGAAAAAATCGTTTGGCTTTTTTTTATCACTTTTATTCTCACAGTTGCAACATTGAATAAATTATTAAATTTAAAAAAGGTAAAACTCTGTCCACCAAAAGAAAAAAAAAGAATTGGAAATTGTTGTGGAAATTCCCAACGAACCAACAAAACAATTGAAAGTTTTAAATAAAATTCAATAAAAGTGTCCAGAATTATTGAAAAAGAAAAACCAAAAACTGAATTGAAAAATCGACACTTGATAAAAACTAAATGAAACTAACGGAAAAAAGATGCGTAACGAACAAAGTGGAATTTGTGTTGTGATTTTGCGACCGTTCGAGCCAGCTGATAAAATTCAACTGAATCAAGTCAAAACGAAAAAAAGACATATAAAATCGTGTGTATTTTGTTGTTTGTAGAATGTTTGCGTTGTACGTATTGAGTAGCAAAAGCAACAACACCAAAAGCCAACAGTGACGATGACGACGACGGCGATCAGCAGCAGCAGCAGCCGCGGAATATATTTTGAAAATCAGCGGCAAGCAAGAGAGAGAGTGTGTCAAAGAGAGTGGTATACATTGGCTGCATAGCAGCTATACACACAGCACGCTCTTTGGTGAAATGTGTAGCATTTCTTTGCTATGCACTGGCGTTCAATGAAGATTCCATCGTGTGTGAAGCGATAGACACTAGCACACATTAAATGCTTTTATTATTATGCATCAGAATGCGAGTCACAGTTTCCAATCATAATTTAATGCTGTCATTTTATCTTTTGTTTCTTTTTTTCTTTAAAAAAAACTGGAACTTTTATCTGATGTATACATTATGCGTGCATGGAATATTTCGAAACCGGTACATTGGCTTTTTTTCTCTTTAAATTTTTAACGATTATCTTCAGCACTGAATTATATAAAGTTTTACGGTGTGTCGCGTGCTCTACTTCAATATAGGAGAGTCGGGCCGCATTGAAACACAGTTTCAAATCAATTGGCAGTATCTAATCATAGTGTTTTTAGGTAAAAGTGACAACAAAAAATGGTTTTTAATTACAATTTAAAAAATGTGCATAAAATTCGTCATTATTTTCGTCAATGTTGAAAGTATGATTTGAAAAGTAACAATAAACATTATTTTCTTTCCTTAATTCATGTAGATTTATCAAGATTTTGACACGGGTCGAAAAAGTTCATCGACAGCTCTTTCCTTCAATTACGTTACAAATTGCCATTGTCACGGCTTTTAGATCTTAATTACTAAGGCATAAAAAAATGCAAAAACAAACACATTTGACTTAAGGCAAAGAAAAATCGACATCATTCGATGATATCATTGGAGAAATGTAATAGGACTTTAACCTGGTGACGAGCGGTGAAATTGGTTGCCGTTAACGCATCATTGATTAACTGACAAAAAAACTTTTTTTTCTCTTTTTCAACAAGCCATTCAACCAGTTTCGCTGTCACTAAATAACAATACACATTGATAATCAATTGCGATCAGCGGCGTTCGTCGTCTGTTCAAGGTATCTTTTACATTATTTTACAGTAGTTGAGCAGCAAAATGTTAATCGATTGACTTCTGCAGGGCTTCAAAAGAGGAAAACAAATCGGGTGCTTTGGAAATTTTGCGCGAGTGCAAACACACACACAAAAATACTCCATTGTGCGTTTGAAATGAACGACGAAACTATGGCTGCTTGGTTTAATTTGTAGTGCACTCTCAAAGCGCCAAATTGATAAATGAAAATAATTGTAACAATAAGCGTGCAGACATAATTATATTTAAAACTTAATCATTTCCACTTTGATGGATGAAGAGAGAAAAAAACGGCTACAGACTGAAATGAATCAAGCAAGGGAAAGTTTTCCAACGGAACCGGCTGATTGTTCATTTCGATTAAAAATAAAATACACTTTCGTGTTTACCTTACCATTTTATTCATTGCCTTGAGATCGGAAAACTTCCACCGTTTGTAATCAGAAAAAAAAAATTATGCGTGAATTTTTGTGCCAAAACATTGTTTTGAAAATGAATGAAAAACGAAACAAATCTTGTCTATGCAAAATCACTCAATTAGATCCAACGTTTTTGTTCACAACTTACCGCTTTTCATTCGTGATATGAACTTTTCACACACAGATTTGCATCGAAAAATCCACATTCATAGACATTTTTCTCCGGTACACAACGACCTGAACCGAATCATTTCTGCAATGGTTTTCAAATTTGTTATTGTTTTGCAGATAAAATCGTGCGTACGCCAATGATTAATTATAACATACATTTCACAATACAATGAATGAAACATTGAAATCAATGCTTTTTGAATATAGAGAAGCAATCTTCCGAGTGAAAATCGAAAACAACATTCACTTTTGCGATTCCGTAAAATTAGTGAAATCTAAATTCTAAAGTACTTTTCAAACGATTGTTCATGTTGAATGTTGGCTTTTTCCTAAAAATTGTTTATTTACAATTTTGAAATTTTCGAACCAAATAGTGTCTGTCAATGAAATGTTTGAGCAAAAAAAAAAAGAGAATTTATAATGTAGTCCATTGTTGTGATGAAGTATATCAAAAATTGCCGAAGCATACATTTGTACAGCATGAAAAATTCCGGACATGTCATAAGTTGGCGACATGTTGTCAACCGCATCCTGCTCGTTTGGCTCGTTTGTATATATCTAATGCCATTTTCTTCATCATTAAAATGCGTTTTGTCATCATATCACCGAAATGCGGACTTTGTATTGTTCGTGCACTGAAAACCCATGTATTTCCGTATCTCAAAACTTCATGAATAGTTAATGTCGTGAGCGTGTTTATGGTCTCGCTTAGCTAAACGATATAACCGTTGAAATTGTAAATAAAAATCTCTGTTTAGTACATTATCTATGTTTTTCTTCTCTGTATTTTCCAACGATGAAAATGTTGCCTATCTTCGGGCGATTGTTGCTAAAGAGCTTCAAAAAAGGTAAACTATCTTTCAAAACCGGAATTTTATTTAACTGCAACAAAATATAAAATACGCCAAGGGCATATCACTTGTGCTGCTTCTGGATGATGCGAACGTATTACAGTGTGAACGGTTGCTATGCAGAAAAGGCAGAAAAAAGACATTGTCATAAATAATAAATTGCATACATCTATTTATAAAGCATCATCATCAGCATCAAGGGTTGATTTTAACAAAACATAAAAGTTAAGCTCGCAACAAAATACATGAACTTGAGCATTCAAAAAACCAATAACCAATGAGGTGATGTATGTAAAGGTAAATCTCATTGCCAAGACCATTGAAACTGGAATAGAAGCCGAAAGACACAAAAAAAGAGAACCTCTCAAATATGAAAACAGGGCATCATCATAATGAGAAGTGTGTTTAGTAAATTGATGTATGGCTCTGACAATCGTGCGCGCACAGGTAGCATAAATAAATGAAAAAAAAATCAATTGTTTGATATATTCTTAGGGGAAGAATTAGCCGGAGGCCCAAAGCTATGATTTTCGAAAATGTTTTTATAATGCATATTTGATATGAAATGGTGTCGAAGCCTCTGTGAATGAGACACGGTTCGTATTCTCAGTCACTCAATGAAGAGACTATTACGGCCTCTTTTCACTGAAATTCATTTTCCGTTGAATTTTTAATCGACAATGATGAAATTCATTCGTTAATTTTTGAAATATAGTACGCTCCTCGTCAACTATTTCAAAATAAAAAAATAAAAAGTTTTACATCTAATGAATACATATACACCGAAAAACCGTCCATAAATACATTGCATATACATATATCCCGTTAGATTGAACTAAGCTCACCACCACATACACCAAAAGCGATGTCATGTTCGAAAACGTTTCCCCTTCAATAAAAATTGAATTGCCATGCAAACGCATATTCGAGTGTTTTATGTTGCGACCTAAATGTATCTTCTGCCGCGGCTTACATGTGATAAAGTGAAAAGTTTTTTTTATTATGTGTTCGTTCTTTATCGGTCGTTTTTCTCTACGCCATACACACTGCAGCCGTTGTGCCGTATGGATGGTGTTCTAATTAGAATTTCCGAGCGAGACAACAAATGTGTCCCCCCAAAAAACCAAAACTGATTTTAAAGAAGAAAGACGACGACAGCGAGTACGAACCGAATAGCACTTGAAGTAAAGTTAACAAGAGAGCTGCTATAGATACCATTGACGCAAACTCGTGCACACACACTGCACATATGATATGTATATATATATTCTAACGTTTGACAGGCACTGAGCACTGAATGTGATTGCTTACGGCACCACTCAAACCGTTCGCTATGACGAGCGAGCAAACGAATAAAAAAAAATCTATTCTATAGTTTCGGTATGCGCTGTGCTCTCCACCGTTTACAAATATATCCGATAAAACGCGTACAACAGAGGCAGTAGCAAGCAACCGAATCGTACGCGAATGTTGTATCGTCTGTGTAGAAGCTGCCACAGTATGAGAAAGACAGTGAAAAAGGAAATATTGAATTAAAAAATGGCTGTCGATGATCGCGATACAGCTTATATAGTACCCGAAAATTTCTGTGATACAAAACCATAAAAAGAACGTTTTTTTAAAAAAAAGAAAATCTTTTACTCTCGTGGGAAATTTAAGCAAAAACTTAAACGTAGAAAAGAAGTGTGTATTTCATTTATTAACGTTAAAATTGGTGTCGGCTCTTCGATTTGAAGCGAAGTAAAAGAGAATAAAAAATCGATTGTAGTGGAAAATCTTGTAGTTTATTTTTCTTTTCAACGAATTTTCTTCAATTTTCATTCCGAAGAAAATTTTGTATTTATTTCTGTCTTGTGTGATTCACCAGTGTATCAAGTGTTTATTTTCCCAATTTTTATTTCGATTTTCGATGTGAAAATTTAGTGCACTATCGATATATACACATATATATTTTAGAGGCGCAACCTAAATAAGTAAGAGCAAATTTAGTACGATTTTGAAGAAAAAAAAGGATAAATAAGTTCGTATATACTGTTTGTGGGTAAAATAAGGACGAAAAAATAAACCAAGAGAGCAGAGATAGTGTGAATATAATTCAACAAATACAGTTATACTGCAACGGAAAAAAACGCACTGTTAAAAGTGTTCTGTGTATGCTGAAAGTCATGCGAGTTTGTTCTTTGTTTGTTTGACGTACATATTTTCGGTGTGATTTCAAGAGGACTTTGGGTTGACCTACAAAAAAATGGCATCGATTCGAACATAGACACAACGGAAAATGGTATGAGGAAAAGTCAATCCAACACAAAATATCTATTTTGTGCTTACTGTAGTTAGAATTGAATGAGTGATATTTGGAATAAATAAATAAATAAAGAAAATATAAAATATTACTGGGAAAAATCGATGAAAAATGAGAAAATATGATAAATTTTTTTTTATTCTGAAAAATTTATCGGAAAATGAGTACAAATTGATTCCATTCAACTCTCTAATTGATGTAAATAATGGAAAATAAGGAAATAATAAAAAAAACGAATGAAATAATGAATTGTCTGTCGTAATCGATAACCAAAACACTCTGACAATTCTTGAAAGCTCCTATTGATGAAAATAAGACAATTAGTATGGTTGCGTGAAAGAAAATGCAAAATACACACGAATCAAAATGACGATGAAGGAATGAACGGACGAAAGGGCAAAAAGCCCGAAAAAAAGAGAATATATCAATGAAATCAATGGATTAATTGTGTCATTTGGGGATGTCGTGGTGTACGTGCACTTGTTTCATATTCAATGTGTGTGTGAGAGTTGATATGCAAGCGAGTATGTATGCTTGTTTATACTTGTATGTGTGTGTGTATGAGGCAAGTAACATGCACTGTGCAATATTCGGTCGATGAAATTTTTTCGAACAAGTCCATTTTCCCCAAAAAGTCATTTGCCGTTGTTCGAATGACGACGGCAAAGCGCACCACATTTGTGTACATAGTACCAGTAGCATGAACAGCAGCAGTTGAACCGTTCAAATGGTATGCCTATGCGAGAGGCAACAGCACACACACAGTGTCTGTGTGTGTGTGTGGATATGTATATGCGACATGATGAATATGTATCATGAACCAAAGTTGTATCCTATGCAGGCAACGGAAAAGGAAAAATCAAATGCGCGTGAAAAACAGAATGGGGACGATGGAGAGAGTGTGTGTGAGAGAGAATTAGCATCATGGATGATTTTCTACACGCACATACATATATTGATGCAAACGAAAAACGGCACATCGCTGACGCACAACCAACTCATATCGTCGACGTCGTTTTGTGACGATTTTCCTCGGAGAGTGTGTTCGGAGTTTGTGCCACAAATTTGCTATTGGCCTAATTTCTTTTTTCATCAATTATACATATATACATTGTGCACCGAATCATCGGTGTCGTATGCATGCGTATAATAACTGTGTCTTCACAATTTTTCGGCACATAAACTCTTTCTCTCTCTCTTTCTCTCCTTCTGTCTCTCTTTTTCCTATATTCTGCGTTGGTTTCCCTTCTTTGGTCTCGTTGTTTTTTTTTTTCGTTATAAAACGCACCGAAGCCCATTGTAAATTTAGGTCTTTGTTTAGGTAACCTATTAAAATTAGAACAAAACATGATGATTATTTTCAAATTGCCAATCATTCATTGTAAAAATAGAATCGAAGGGACAAGGTGCACAAATTCATTGAAAAGCATAATGTCATTAAAATGTCCGCCCACCACAATCGATTCAACTTAAAATGAATCGCTTGATTACATTGAGCATAAACGAAAAAGTGGAGTAAGTGAACGATAACGATGGCACCATCAAAAAACAGCACCAATAGTAGTAACAGCAATAAAAAAAAAGAAAGAATTCCAACAAATGAGGGCCAAATGTGCAAAAATTTTACAAAACAGAAAATCAATAACGTGATTACGGCAAGGCGTAAAAGCGCACACCGATTGTGGAGTATGTAGTGCATGATGCAGAGACAATGGTCGTATATAATCGCATCAATGACATGATTTCAATGCTGAAACATTTCACTCCTTAATATTATTTATATACCAAACGACGAATAGAAAAAAACTAAAATAAAACGATGAACATCGTTTGCATGGGCTTATGTATGCATGAAAATCCAATCAACCGATTCCACACAACCTATACTGGCGTTTTTTGTTTATTTTGTTTCGTTTTTGGAACGAAAATAGTTCAGATCGACATAAAATATTTCTCAAATACGGTTGTTTATTTGCAGTAATCCATTGCTCGATATACTGCATTTCGTACAGTGTGGCATGCACGTCAATTGGTCGATTCGCATGTAAATGGCAACAAGCTCGTGGCAAACATTTCGTTCGACAAAACAAACTCCGTTAGAAAAGAAATAGAAAAATCAGTTTATTCGAAGTTTTCCGAATTTGCGCAACACAAAATAATATCTAATAATTGAAGTAGTAATTGAAAAATTTTCAATAAAACATTTTCTCCATTGGCTGACGATTTTGATCGGCCAAACGGTCGGCTGTGTTCTCAAATCTAACGGTGAAATCGTAATGATTTCAATCAATTAGATATTTATAAAAAAGCACACACACAAACAACGAAAGCGACGAGAGAAAAAAAGAACATTTTGTTTGTATTCAGATATGCTACTGTTGTTTATCTGCTATTGCTTTGAATCTGTGTACTATTCAAAGTTAATAGAGGTCGAACTCTATTCGCTTCATCAACAACAACAACAATAAAAAGTAGCTGTTTGAACTAAAACTGTATTGAAAAGACGAGAGAGAAAAAAGAGCATTCGGAATAGTAAACAATGTACCAAAAATAACGAAATAAAACAGAACATTTTCGATAGATTCTTTTTCGCTCCACAAAAGAATACACGTCAAGCGAAAGAACGCATTCAGAACGTTCAAATGAATAAAATAGCAGCGAGTGAGTGTAAATGAAATCGTGAGGAATATTAGAGCGCACTTTTCAATTTATCAATTATTAACTGTTTTGTGAGCGATAAAAAGAGAAACAATGAGACGACCGAAACGATTCTATTGACGATGTCGATGGCAATGATGACGAAACATCGCAGCGGATTAGAACATTTTCACATTTCAATGACATCAATAAAAATCAAGAAGAGAGAAGACACACAGCCGTTCATTGAGATGAAACTAACAAAAAAAATTACTGTATTCAGACCGGGGACTGCCACAGTGGCTGGATTCAATTGTTATTGTTGGCGTTGCTGTATGTTTCGTGTTTTTTTGTGTGTGTGTGTCGTGTTGTGAATGAAAACTTTACGCTAGAATTACGTCGATAAATGTTTTAGAAGAGTTTATTAGCAGAATTTCGATTTATTTCGATTGCGGACGTGGTGAAAAAAAAAAACATTGTTACAAAAAAGGGCTTTAACGTGCAAAATATCGTAAGTTTTGGGGGCGGATAGAAAATTGATCGCAAGAACCAAAAATTGAGCGACAAAAAAAAAGAGAAATTCAATGCTAAGCTCGAATGGCATTTAAGTGAGAAGAGAAAAAAAAACACCAAAAATGTGCTTCAGTAAATGTATAAATGACACGTTCCGTACTCAAATATCCCATGCAAACGCTAATTTAACATGAATGAGTTTTTGTGTGTTGCTCCGTTCCGAATTGTTTGTCGCTTCATTTATGTATGAAACAACTGTCATATTTTCAGTCATTAAACGTTTGTATGTTGTTGTTTTTTTTCTTCTCTTTAATTGCAAACAATAACAAAACAAAGAATGTTTCGATCTCCTAAAATCGCAATCGAAATAGATCGTGTCGAATTAATATGGAATAGTTGAGTAAATTTCGGCGACAAAAAAAATTCGTTAATTCGATCTTCCTCAATGAGATATGGAGATGCTTCCACTGTGTGCTTCGTTGGTGATGCAAGTAATTTTTTTTTTATGAAATGTGTACTATACAATTTAGTATTGTTGCTTCGACGCTATCCGATTACAATTTTATCTCTCTTTCTGTCTTATACAAATGCGCACGGCATTCAACAAATAAACTACTCGCTTCTCTAAACGTATGTCATATTTTTGTCGTCTCTTCTCTCTGTTCGGTTCGATGTATGCTGTCGCGCATGTATTGTCATGACAGTGGTAGAACAATTGACGATCACAAACTGTAAAATGCGAGTAATTTGTTGTTATCATATCATGAATGTGCTAGTATATTTTGTATTTGATTTATGTGTGTTACGCTCAATTCTTTTTCGGTCGATTGTCTCTCCGTCACGCTTGTTCGGTGTTTTTTTTAAACGTTTATTTAACTCTTTAAGTGATTCTTCAACGTGACACCATGTGCCCACTATGCAAAATCGCATTTTGGCACACGCGCACACACAAATCCATCAGACCGATGTATATCATACGCTCGGATACATAGACATTGATCTAAAAACAATAATAATAATCACAACAATTTGCCGTAAGTGAAAGAAATGAAGAACAGAATCGAAATGAACGCCGACACCACATGGACACAATTCGAATCACACAAATTCTATTTTCATTACGAATTTCCGAAACAACAATATCGATATGATTGTTTGTGAGCTTATGTATGGGTGTGTGTGTGCATGAAGTGGTGTGCGCAATGCGCACTAACCAACATGCTATTTATTATTATTAGCGGCAATGTGAGATTTCAAATACAGACGGAAAAATACAACGTCGGACGTTTCGATGTTGACGTTGTACCTTGAAAAATTACACGCAATTTTGTGTGTTACTTTTTTTTCGTAAACTAAAGTCACAGCCAGGGGGAGAGAGAGAGTCAGAGAGAGAGAAAAAGACGTACATTACAAATTGGTTGATGATGTTGTTTTTTCACACTGCCGAATGGTTTATTGCGGGTGAATATTTTGTATTTCATTTGCACATTTGCATAACCATTATATATTTTGCGGCACTTTGTCGGTACCGAGAGCACGATATCGCTCACTCAGTAATGTTCGGCGCTACTATATTTACACGGTTTTATCATAATCTTCTTCGGTTGTTTCGTCTTTATATTCGTTTGTCGTCGTCATTGCTAGCGCGCACTCGCTCGCCCGCTTAAATTTCATTTTCATTCTATCATCACTGTGTGTGTGTATTTCTTTTTTTTTTAATTTGTTTCTACAGTTTTTTTTTCGGCAGTATGTAAAAAATTCACTTGCATGATCATGTGAATTGAACTAGCCAATCTCAAAATCGCAGAACAGTGCATTTAATTTTTATGTACTGTTCAATATTCAGTTGAGTTTTTCTTTTTCAGCTCAACGTTCAAAATCTAGTTATCGTGTTCCCTCTCGTTAGTTTCATTCGATATTTACGCCTCTATTTGGCCCTGTGCATATTTGAAATGTGATTTTTTGATGCCGACGACGACCGACCGACATCCCAAACATACACTGTGATTGATCATTTTCTGATGCTTTGCACGGCTGACTGTTTTAATGAGTTGTTAAGTTTAGTCTCTATTTGGTTTAAGGTAAAATTGATTTGCATTCGGCTATTATTTCATTCAAGTGCGGATGCGAACTGATTGTGTGCATTGTCTATTCGAATAATAAATTGAGACGAGTGTGAGTTTTTTTTAATTTAATTTTCATTCAGAAAAGAATGAGAGAGAAGAACATTCATTCACAATTTATCGAATCGTCATCGATTGTGATAATTTTTCTTCATTCAATTCATTGTTTGGGTGCATTTTATGTATTGCTGTATTTGTGATGAGTTCTTATTTATTGGCATTGCGGCAATTATTCCAGAAACCTTTATTTATTCGATGGGTGTTAATCATATGATATCGATTCGGTAGATAAAGAGCGAACCAAAAAAAACTTGCTCATTTGAAATACGTTTAGTAGTAACATGCTGCCTGCTGCCATCGTCAACAATATTACAAATAAATTGACCCAACAACAGACACTACGTATATATAGATCAGAGCGTGCGCAATGTGAACATACACACACAAAATATGACATAAAAAAGCGGCCACAGTATCGAAATGCTCACGGAAAATGGCATAAAATGGAAAAAAATGAACTAAAAAGCATCATCACATAAAGTGAGAGAGTGCAGAGACAGAATATGCCCCAGCATGATACATTTTATGGAGGATACACGCAGAATAACGACGAACACAGTAGAAAAGTGAAAAAAATGAAACAGCAGCATATACAACAAATAAAACGAAGTTAAACAACGGCAATGTCGAAGCATTGGCGAAAATGTATGACAATAACTATACGGTAACGAAAAATAGGACGGACGCCCATTTTCAAATTATGTTCTATCGAGATAGCGCAGTTTGGTTTGGTTTTCGTATTGTTCGCATTGCACTGCACATAAAAATCCATAATCATACATTGTATATATTTATGTGTGCCAGATTGTGAACTTGTGCATACCATGCAATCGTCCGATTTCGGTGTGTGTTTAGTGTTTGGAGATTTTTTTTTATTATTCGTTGCTGGTCATTTTCTATTTCTCTCCCTCATTCAAATCTTTCGGTGTTTCTTTTTTTTTAATTCAATCAGTGTGTGAATGACGTTTCTTCGTGTGTCAATACGTCTACTATTTTGTTAAAAGATGAATTGTCAACGTTAAATAAAAAGACGATTTATTCATTCGCTGTTTAAAAAAAGTTCGTGGCATGGCCAGTGTCTTTCTTTCCCTATATCTTGACTAATATTTCAGTACATATATTACGTACACAATTGACGTGGATTTTGTGGTGATATTTTTGGTCGTGCAACTGCGGTGTGTGTGTTCTAGTCGCTGTCTCAACCGTTTTACGCATACCAGTAACAAATTTTCGTTGCGGTTTTCTTCGTTTTACATTTCATTTACTTTTCACACATTTGTTTTCATATATGTGTCACACACGTTTTGTTATGACCAATTGTTCGAGCACATACACTTGCATGTATTTTGTTTCATAGTTTCGCGCAGCAACCTATTCGAGTTTTTTTGGTTGCCTTTTTCTACATCGTGCTGCGCCTCCTTTCCCCCAAGTAAAAATTTTTTTCGGGTTTTTTTTTAACCGTACAAAACACACACGACGAAAAAAAAAGTTATTCAGCATAAGAGCTAATAAAATCCAAAAGCCAACAACACTATCAAAACACAATGAAAACAATAGTCGTTCGATGTTTGTTGTTGTTGTCGTCATCGTTGCTTCGATAATAAAACAACAAAAAAAAAAATAGGCTATTTTGCCGTTGCCAACTGTCGATAAATATTAATTACCGTTATTTACCTTTTAAGTGGGTTGACGTTGTGAATTTGGAAAAAGGTGCACACACTAAGTCCAAGAAATATTCATAATAAATAATAGCAATCGATGGCCGGAATTTCAGTGACAACGGCTCACCGATAATTGTGATTTTTTTTTAATCATAAAAAAGCAGAAAACATTGAGTGTATGTGTGCGCAAAAATTATTATGATGAAAAATGATGAAGATTAGTATTTGCGAATCTGTAAAATAGGGAAAAAGAGAAACATAATTGTGTAAGAGTAATATTTTACTATGTGTATGTACTATTTTGTACTCTTTGTGTCATCGTCGATGTTGTCGTTGACGTTGGATACATGGTCGTAAGCGAATTGCACAAACGAGAAAATTAAGCTGTAATCGTTGCTCTCGACGACGGTAGCAGCCAATTAACACCTTCAAATGCCGAAAATATCGGACACAATGTTGGTCTTGAGCATTTTTGCTCTTACCGTTTTTGTATTTGCAATAAAAGCAGCGATGTCACTTGAGGGGGACAGACACCGAAAAAGACCGAGAATCAGAGAGAAACGGTTGATAATATCAAATTGAAAAACTAATCAAATGCCATAATAAAAGAGCGCACGCAAGACACGGACGACTCGGTCGCGTATTTGAAATCACACATTGTGAAATTGTACGTTTTTTTTAAGTAAAAAAAATCCGTTCGTTTTTTTCATTTGTTCCAAAAGTATCTCTATTATAACGTCTTTTTTTCGCCAGCCAAACGATGAACGCGGCTTAGAAACAGGTGTATTTACATGTGTTTCATGAAATTATCGTCTCTTTTTCATGTTTTGCCATTTAATTTTTCGTCGGAATTGCGGTTCTCGGTATATTTTATTATTTTTCGTGGTGTAGCACTTACATTATGCGAGTTGATTCCTCACGACGATTTTGTTGTTGTCTCTCTTTTGACACATTTTTTTACATGAATCATATGTCATATGACATATAAGTGTGTATAAGTTTTGGTTCGGCGTTGAGTAATTTGCGTTACTTTTGAACTCTGTTCGGTTGTGTTTTTTTTTTCTCTTTTGTAAAAATAGAGAGATGAATAGAAGAGGTTTTATTTGATCGATGTAACCTTAACATGAGTTTTAAAGAGGTGCGACCTTCGTTAAGGGAACTTGATCTATGGTTTTTACTTGCATTGTGTTGCTGTGTGTATGTGTCAGCAAACGGGTTATTTTGCGCTTGACTGAAATTAATATTGACTGACAATGATTTCTTATTCTCATTTTTCAAGCACAAAACGCGGAAAGTGCACACCAATTTCCGATTTATTACCTATGAATGTGTGTGATTGCTTCGGCTGTAAAGTGTGGTTTGAATATGCATATACAATTGGTATTGAATGTAATACTCACATGAACAAAAAATTGTATGTTTGCACTTTTTATAAGAATTTTTAGGTCTAGCTATCGTTGCTAATCACCCGCAAATATGACAATGACCTAAAAGTGGTTTAGATAAAAAAAAAATGTCAACAACAACAATCGCACTAACACATTTTTCTTTCTTTGTGTTTTCCATTTTCAGATTAAATGTTCCTAGCCAGCCCGAGACAACATATACCGATATCGATTCAAAGACTTGTGTGTGTGGAAATAATGTCATAAATATTAATAGTAATAACGACAAACCAAAATACAATTAAAATTAGTGCAATAACAACATTTATTCAAATCACACATTAGATAATATCCGCAGAAAAGTCGAACAAATTACTGGCTGCATACACAAACATTTACATAGCGTTACAAAACAACAATATATCCAGACACATACACACACACATACATACATCTCTCTCTCTTGCTCGTATATATGCAGAACGATGATAATAATTGTTCTCTTATCGTGTTAATATAATTTTGTTTGTTTCGTTATTTTGCTTTAAAAATCAAATTCAAGTCAACAAAAAAAACCAACAAAGTTACCAATATTAATTTAAGCGACGTGAAATCATTTCGATTTTGAATTAAGTGCAATCATTGAATACAGAAAGAAGGGGAAACAAAGAACAAAATATATTTAAAAAAAAAAATCTTCCAACAATTCGTATTTGAAATTAATCGCAACGGAAAATTGTAATAGTATCGACAAACTGAAAAATCAACACAACTCACAAATCCCTTTTTGTGACGATATAAACCAAGTAAACAATGACTAATGTAATAAATACGTCTGCGAATTCGGCGTTAACATCAAATGTTCATGCAACTAGTATAACACAGCAATCGGATGATCTATTGCCATCATTGGCATCGTTATCGTTTAATGTAAGCAACGGCAGTAGCTCAGGTGATCAATCGGTATCCGCATCGTCAGCCCATGCCGGCCAATCGTTAAAAGACGAATCAAACGAAACAACAACATTGAGTACCCTATTAAATCCAATTGTCAATAATAATACGGTCGATGCAAAAGATCTGAAGAAACAAGTTGAATGCGCCGAATTACAAGGTAGAACAAATATGTTGACCGTGCTCACATCACAAACGACCGGCACCGTTGCATCTGTGTCACCATCGATGTCGGCATCACAATATGATTTTACAACGAAAATAAGCGAAGAAAACACATCGGTGGCGGCAATGTGGTCGAATATTGACGATGGCAGCAATCATAATGCCGTTTCGAATGGATTCAAAAATAATTCAAATTACAATTCGAATTCGTTGGTCACAACGTTAATGAATAACACAAATTTGTCAAATATACATCAAAATCGTCGGGCAATAACCGCATCGCATGGAGGTTTTCAACCAGGTCTTCCGCCAAACAACTGCGCACCACGTAATATGATGCCACCTCCTTCGATTCAACAACAGCAGCAACAACAACAGCAGCAGCAGCAGCCACAGCAGCCACAGCATGGGAACTATCACCCACACAATATGCATAAATCAACGCCACAAGATCACCAATCTCATCATATGGCTATGCAACAGCAGCAACAACAGCATCCCCATCAGCAAAATTTAAATTTTCATCAAACACCGAATGCAATCGACCGCGATCCAATGCACGACCAACATCGACATCAACAAAAGCCGAATATGTACAATTCAAACTATCCGGTCTGGTCAAATCCGGCATCATCGATGCCTTGGCAAGCACAACAACCACAAGCTGCCATTAATAACTCCATTCCGGTAAGACATTTTTTTTTCTTCATTGCCACGTAAATTCCGATGGCCGTGGTGCATATCCTAATTTAAACACAAAACAAATATAAATGAGCGTTATTTTGTTGGCCACTTTTTTTTAAATAGCAGCAACAAACACATCAGCAACCCTGGAATCGTGGCCGTTCCGTTCCAAATTTAAATCCCATGTCGAACAATTTACCAAATCGAAAGCCAACGTCGCCGAATCCAGGCATGTCGATGTCTGCATTTGCAGCGTCACAATGCGGCATTACGTCACCAATGAAATACCGACGCAGCACATCATTTCCTGGCAAAGTACAAGGTCAAAATTCACTGCATCACAGTAACGTCGTTGATATCAGTGGGCAAGGACACAATAATCTTTCACACGGCCCAATCGATATGAATGCATTAGACGATGCTCGTGAACAATTCATGCAATATCAAGTAAGTGACCGCCCTTCTCTCTTTTACTTTAACAAAAATTTTAAATTTTGTTACGCTTCTGAAAAAGTCAGACGGTTGAACATGAATTTTATTAAAAATCGATTTTTTTCATTATTCTATTGCATAGGAACGACTTGGAAATGGCTATGAAATGCGCTCACTGGAACATTGTTTGAATGACATTATGAAAGGTGTTAACGACGGTGGACATCACGATTTCAAAGGAAAACCATATTATCCACGTATCGAAGATCATATTGCCGAAGAATCGGGCGGTTACGATGGATTGACGCTTCCAATCGGTTCGCCAGCACGTTCATCGCCTCAATCACAAAACTCCGATATGAATGAACGTTTTTCACGAAAAGTTTTTGTCGGCGGTTTACCACCTGATATCGATGAAGGTAAATCACATTTTTCAATGAGAAAATTCACCTTATCTTTGGTACCTCAAATAATAAATGATTTTTGATATTTCAGACGAGATTACATCATCATTTCGACGTTTTGGACCGTTGGTTGTCGATTGGCCCCATAAAGCAGAATCAAAATCATATTTTCCACCAAAAGGATATGCATTTTTACTATTTCAAGTGAGTCGCACGTTTTTCTACTCTCATTTGACTTCAAATGCAATGAAACTTCGATTTTTTTTTCTCATTTTTAGGATGAGAGCAGTGTTCAGCAATTGATCGAAGCGTGTATAACGGACGAAGATAAATTATATCTTTGTGTATCGTCTCCAACGATTAAAGATAAGCCAGTACAAATTCGACCATGGCGATTATCGGATGCTGACTTTGTTTTGGACGCATCAATGCCACTTGATCCACGAAAAACTGTGTTCGTCGGCGGTGTGCCACGACCATTGAAAGCTGGTAAGTAGTCACGGAGTTTCTTTTTGGTGTAATTACACGTCATGATAATGAATTCGATTTGTTCAACAGTGGAATTGGCAATGATAATGGATCGTTTATATGGTGGTGTCTGTTATGCCGGAATCGATACTGATCCTGAGCTCAAATATCCAAAGGTAAGAACAGATTCAGTTGTCTTGATAAAAATTAAAAAAAAATTGAACATTAATTTGACGATTTAATAATTTTCCGAAATAGGGCGCTGGTCGAGTAGCATTTTCGAATCAGCAGAGTTACATAGCAGCCATATCGGCTCGATTTGTTCAATTGCAACATGGTGACATTGATAAACGAGTCGAGGTCAAACCATACGTTTTGGACGATCAAATGTGTGACGAATGTCAGGGATCTCGATGCGGTGGCAAATTTGCTCCGTTCTTTTGTGCAAATGTTACATGTTTACAGGTAAAACATTGTCAAAATTTGTGCACTCCGTAGGAAAAGAAAATTAATTGATTTTTTTTCTATTATAGTACTACTGCGAGCACTGTTGGACAACAATTCATTCTCGACCAGGTACGAGTTAATTTATGTCTTAATTCAAATTTATTTTAATTTAAACATTGATTTTAAACATCGGTTTATTGAAAATTAAATGTAACAATGTTATCAAAACAACGAATCACATTAATTTATATGTTAATTCCAGGTCGTGAATATCATAAACCGCTAGTTAAAGAAGGTGCCGATCGACCACGTGCTGTGCCGTTTCGTTGGTGTTAACAACGCTGATCGTTGAGTTCGCAGAACATCGTTGCCGTCGCTATTTCTCGCAAGTAAAATCGCAAAAAAAGCAATCTATCAAAATATATAACAAAAATACCTGCAAACAATTACCAAACAAACCAAAATTGATTGGAAAAGAAAAGGCGGAGAAAACAAATCGAAATGAAAGAAAATATGACATGATAGAAAATGCATGAAAAAGCAAAAAAAAAAATTACTTATTCAGCAAGCAACAGCTATACCACAGACACTTTAAACCTTTTTCTAGTAAAAATTTCATTGCAAAGATAAAAAAAAGTTTATTTTCGCAAGATTACACACTACCACAATATGTGTAATTTCTTCTTTTTTATATCTATATTTATATATACATACACACAGGAGATCACGTATTTTTCTTCGACTCTCACGTTGTTTTATTTTGTTTTTATTTCGTTTGTAAGTGTAGCAACAGGCATTAGACATTTAAACAAAACAAAAAAAAAAAACAAATATATATAATATATGATAAAAAAAATACAATACATCTAGAGCAATTTTTATGATTTTTTTGTCGGTATGGATATGGTAGTAGGAGAGAGAGGAAATAGGGAAAAAACCACACCGTTTTTTTTACTCAAACAAAAGGATTCATGGCCAAGAACACAAAGTAGTTCAATGCCGAGGCAGAGATAGAGTGACAATTCGCCGTTTCGTTTTTTTTTTGCAAAAAAAGAACATCTAAACGTGCGTCATCTATTTTAGGAAATGAGAAAAAGTTAGAGGGAGGACAAAAATAAACAAAAACCATTCATAACCACTGTATATTTCTACCTTATAATCCCAATTGTATTAGACAAATTCCAGTAGGACTGAACCTCTTCTCTGTTTATTTTGTAGAATGAATTTTTCATCAGTTTCGTAATAGTTTAGTTATTGTTGATCCGCTGCAAGTAATGAAAATCTTGTTTACAGTATATACATGTTGTTTACATCTTGTTATTTTAATTTATCCTTAACTAGAGTTGATTTGCGTTTAAACGATCGGTGATAATAGTCATCGATTTTTTGTTTTTTTTTTCGGTTTCTTTAATATTTTTTAACATGTCACCACGGGTGACACTCTTCACTAGGACACGAGGTATTTTCAAGTAGAAAACGAACGGGATCGGTGTTAAAATATTCATTCGTGAATTTCCAATGCCTTCCCACAGCGAACAATTGAGTACCACTCAAATTACATCCACGAATCGCAATCAGACTGAATTTGCGTCAAGCTGCCGGCTATCAATTTTCTAAAGAAAATGGCTTATCAATAGACCCACTTATACGCTTAGGAATTCAAATATAATTTTTTTTTTCTTCATTTCTTACGAATTTTTAATTGAATTTTTCTATTAAGAATTTCAGTTACACATACACATATATACGTAGATAACATTAGAAATGTGCAGCTCATGAGAACAGAACCATTAGTTTTTGAACTTATTGTAGAATTTTCTTGAATATCTCAACTATATTATTTTTGTAATGCTGTTTGATTTTTTAAACCAGAAAATATAGTAGTCACAGTCATATATTGTACAAAAAAAGTAATCAAACTTATAGAGACTAATATGGAAGGTGTAACAGTGAGAGACAAAACAAAACACAACAACATTTCTAATTTTGTATGCGATTTTATTCGTTTCCTTGTGGTTATAATACAGTTCAGAATTGTTTATTTAGGGTTTTTTTTTTTTCATTTTATGTGATATTTGTTGATTTTTTTTTGTAAAAAAAAAAACAAGTTAAAACAAGGGTGTTTTCTTCGTTTTTCATATTTTGATTTTTCTACTATTTTTTGTTTCTTTTTTAAATTAATATAGCATGTAGTTGTCTCTTATACATTTAATTTGTCTCCGACAGAATAGTTTCATAATTTTCAACATATATTCGGTTTGGGATTTTTGTTTTAAATTCAAAATGAACGATCAGCAAAAAGAAGAAACAAAAAAAAAATGCTATCAAACCACAATACAAATTAAAAACTAAATAAATGAATATCCAAACGCAAATTAATCATTAAATAGTTAAAAGTGTGAAAGAGAGAGAAAGAAACCATTAGTCAAATTTTAAAAATAATTAGCAACAATTTCTAGTTTCAATTTAAAGAGAACAAAAAATATTGATTGCAAAAAAGTGACAAAAAAATCTCCATTTAAATGAAATTTATGAATAAAATATGTATATTTACGGTTTTTGAATTGTAATTGCAAAACAAGTAAGCAAAATAAAATAGCACTAATTTGTTTGAGTGCACTCACTCACTCGCGAAATAATGATCTAGAAAAAAAAAATGAAATCTAAAAACAAAACTACATCAAAAACTGAAATGGGCGAATGAAAAATAAGATAGAAAAGTATGGGCAAGTGCAAGTGATTTGTTTGTGTCAGTCAATAAAAACACATTACAAAGAGAAAAAAGAAGTAATAAAATGTTGAAATGTACCTAAACACAAACAAAAATGCTAAAACATTTTTTTCCCCCGAAATACTATAATCATTGAAACTCTAAATGTAAATCATTCAAAGTGTTTTCTTAATTTGTTTTTGACAACAAAAAAGCGACGATTCAAACATCAATTTTCTGCTGCAGGCAGAAAGCAACGAAACATTTCTGTTCTTTAGAAATAAAAGATACTAATATTTTTGCGCTTAAACATTTTATAAAAATGAATTAAACATTTATCTTAGTAAACATTTGGAGTAAAGACAACACAAAAAAAAAACTCGCGTAAGAAATCGGATTCCACAAAATCGAAATTTTTCGCCTGATCGAAGTTTGTTTCATCTAGGAGAACAAAATTCGTAATGTAACTTAAGTGCAAATCAATGATAAAACAGTTTTTTTGTTGTTTTTATTTTTTCGTCGTCAAAATATATAATGAATAGAAATTTTCGTTTGGAAATTTTTTTATGTGTCGTCTCGTTGTTATCTCGTCGTCAACAAAAGACTTGAAAATGAAACTTTTTAAATATTTTTCGCTCTAATGATAAAAAAAATGTTTTTTTTTTCCTAAAATTAATTAAAATAAAATGAAATCCAAACTAGTTTTTATGAAGATCAGCAACAAACTAAAAAGAATGTATGCGAATATTTTAATGTGACAGAAATCGCAAAATTTATTATTACGATATTGCGTGGAAATGATTGAATCATTAAACACGCAAAAAATTACGGAGTTAAGATTTAAAAGAAGGAAAAAAAACGAACTCCATATTCAAAAGTATGTTTGAATTGAAGATTTGTGCACGCGTTCATATCCAATTTAATGTATAATAATTGTAGTTAATTATTGAAGTAAGACAAACATGAATGAACTCACTTTCACATACAGACACAGTGAAACGTTGAAAATTGTCAGAAACAAACTTATTTAAAATCGCTGGAAAGCTTAAAATAATTCATAAAATGTATTTAAAACGTTATTTCCTAATAACGAACTTTTTTTTTTTTTTTTTTTTAAAAGCAAACGTTTAATGAAGAATCAACATACACACAAATGTGCATTGTACTATTTTTTCTCTCTTGTTTGTTTTATGTGAATGAAAAAAAAAATAATTCAACAATTTTATAAACAAAAAAAATTATATTATGTATGTATTTGAAAGAAGTTAAAAAAGCGCGCGCATACATTTAGAATTCTTGATTAAAAAATTGTGGTGTACATTTTTAAAATGACCTCCATTTTTTATATAATTGTAGGTAAACATGAGAAAAACTCTCTCATAAAAAAAACAAAAGAGAACAAAAAAAAACTTAAAAATGAAAATATTTGACAAACTGCTCTACAAAAAAAAAAAAATTGCGATTTATAACCAAATACCAAATGATGAAGTATTAGTAGAAGAAAAAAAATATTTAATCACTCCCCTTTATCAAATTCACTTGTTGTGCTCTATTTTTTACGTGGAAAATATCTTTCAATTTCATTTCGACACCGAACTTATCATTGTTCCTTCAAATCCCAATTACAACTGAAATCACGTATCAAATTATCAAATCGACGATAATTACATTTATACAGTAGATGCAGCAGAGATGAATTTGTACAATGAAAATCACACGGTAATCGTGGTTTTTTTTAAAGTAATTTTCATACAAAATATATTATACAATTTGATTAGCACTCAGTGAGAGGGTCACATGTGGCCAGAGTCAATTTTTTTTTATTTCAGCAGCTCTTTGGAGCTCATTGTTTCAAATTTCGAATGAAATGAATACACATTGTAGTGTAAGCCCGTAGTGAAATGTCAATCAAGACACTACTTAAAAATCGACCTTTTTTGTGGTTTTTAAGCAAGTTTTTTTTATATATAAATTCCATTCTTTCTTTCGCGCTAAAATTCCCTTTCAAATGAAAAAAAAAATGATCGCCAACACAACAAGAAAAATTGGCTCGAATCCTATGTTTGATAAAAAAATATTTATATATTTAATGGATTTAAATTTAAACTACAAACAAGTATCACTTGAAACAAAGAAAACGTTAGCAAAACGAATCGGTCGTAGATGTCTTTTCTTTTGATAAAATTTTTTTTATTACTATTTATTCATTATTTTTTGTTTTTTTCGTACATGGTGTATATTTTTAGTCGAATTCAAATTTAGCTGATGAAACATTTTTGATAAAAATATTTATATTATTATACAAATCGCCAGGTATGGCCAAGTAATACAATTGAATTAGACTAAATACAAACTGTATGTATCTCGTCTCTGATAAAATAAAAACAAAACCAAATCGAATTAAAATTGCGCTAATATTTAATTGATTCGACTGCAATAAAAAACATACATTTCATTTTGAATTCGAACTTTTTTAGAGAGCAAACAATTAACGTGTGACATAAAAAAAAAATTAACAAAATTTGCCTTTTTCCGTTGCAACGGTTAATTTTCGAAATCATTGGCTGATTATCTGATTAGAATGAACTTGTTGTTACAATATTTTCGTTTTTCCCTTTTTTCAACTGAGACAAATAAAAATTCATAACTGCTGCGATTTCTTCTCATTCTCTCTCCATCCCATCATTTTTTTCATAAAAGTATATTCGTACAGATGTTTATTATCAACGATTACAATTTGGCCGATTGACGGTATTTCGTGATCGAAATTCTATGTTCAAAAGTTACTCAATTAAAAACAACAACAACAACAAAAATGATATGATATTGCAAACAAATCTAATTGCAAAATTTTAATAATCATTACACACTGAAATGTAGAATAGAAAATACAATAGCCATGTATAGTGAATGCATAAATAAAACCGCTGACAAAAATAATGAAGAAGATGGTGAATAAGAATTTTGAAATGATATGAGAAATGATATTTTTTTATGTCACTTTTTTTGACATTTCCTTTCAAGAGATACGAGATAAAAAGAAATAAATTGAAGTTGCACAGGAAATGGATTCTATAATGCCAGATTCAATATAAAATAAACAACACACACACACACACCACATTAAATAGTACTAGTAGTGCATAGAGATAAAACCAACAACAACAAAAAATGGTATTTAAAAACTCGGAACACGGCAAAGGTGCAGCAAAATGATTTTGAAATACATCAAATAAGAAGAAAGCAAATTACAAACAAACAAAAAATATATTATATAGTCATTAAAACATATAGACAAGAACTTGATAGATTTTCTCTTCGTTCTTTTCGCTGTTTTTTACCCAAATAATTAGTCCAAATAAAAAAAAAAACGAGAATATTTTTGCAACATAACGACAAACGAATACACCAAAATACCCACAATAGAAAACGAAAAATAATAATAATAAAAACAAAACTTTATCTATCTAGACAAGCAGAAAGAATATCGAAAAGAATTGCACCACTTTTCTTTAAAAAAAACAACAATTTAAAACAAATAAATGAATAAAAAAAATACCAAAATAAAAAGCGAAAAGCGTGCGAAAGCATCAAAAAGTTCAATTTTAATCAGATTCGCATGGGATACCATAGTCCCCGATGCGATAGATAGTGATGACTAGTAGTGGAAAAAAGTGTTCGGTATCGGCAGATTTCATTTTTTTATAATATTCGATTCGGTCCATTTGTGTTCCAGAAATGAGATTTTCTTTTGAAACCAACAAACAAAGCAACAATGAGTTTGATGAATTCGAAAATTGACTAGCAATACGTTTCGTTAGGAATTGAATTCAAAGAATTCACACACATAAAAGGCAAACTCAATGAAACAAAAAAATTAAAATTAAACAAAAAAAAATCATTTGTATTGGCGATTGATAAAAACATACAAAACTAAAAAAAACACTTATATATACACATATGTATTGGACAAAAAAAAATTCTTACTTATAATTCGGCTTACTCGCCATAGAACGAGTATAAACTCATTATATTATTTCGTAACAAAATCGTATGTTTGCAAAAAAATACCATTAAAAAAAAAACAAAAAAAAAAGTTTTTTGAACGAATAACGACTTTTTGATCTGATTCTAATTTAATAAGCAACAAAAAAATGGATGCATAGCAAAAAAAAACAAAGAGATACAAGTACACTTTTTTATAAATTTGATTACATTTAAATTTTTCTAAATCATACACGTATTACTACTACTAGTGACTAAAATGCAAAGAGAATGATAACAAAACAAAGAAAAAATACCACAAATTAATCACACGGACTTGCCATTTTTTATGATTTCTTTTTGTATTCGTACGATAATTTATATATTGGATTCACGTTTTTTGTACAAATCTTTTTCTACCAATATTTTCCCGAACTATTTTTTTCTCGGTTTGTATTCAAAACGACGCGATCGTTTCGGGTTATATGAGTTAAACCGTCAGGCTTCAAAGTGATTTTTAAAATTCAATTTGAACGTACAGACACATGGCGATCGACACATAGACAACACGAATTGATCGCGTCCATAAAACAAAAATCGTAGACAACATTTTTAAATACACGCTGCAACTTTGTAGGGTTGGTGCAATATGACACACAAACACACAATGATTGAGATTTGTGCGCTGAGCGTTCACACCTCACATTCATTGTTATATTGCCGGTTTTATGGGAATAAAACGAATGATATGCATTCACAGTTCAAATAAAAACAATAACAAACAAACAAACAAAATTGTGTATATGACGACAAGTCGTTTTTAATGCCTATCAAACGAAATTCTACAAATAAAAAAAAAAAACAAACAAAAAAATGATGAAATGAGAAATAAAATTGCATAGAGACAATTTAGTTAATAAATATGTTACGCAACTACAAATTGAAATGAGAATCTGTTCAAATGGCATATTTTTTAAAAGAAAGATGATGAAAAAAAGAGGAAAAACAAATAGTCGCAAATTATTTTTAACTTCAGCTATGAGAAAAAAAAATTAGAAATGCATCTGATGTACCATCCAATTCTGTCAATACAAATTTAAATAAAGCAAATCATCGTATTTAATTAATGTACCGAATTCAATTTTTGGCATTTTTTACTCGATATTTCTTTACAATTCGTTTTTTTCTTTCCATTGTTTATGCTGTATAGCAAGCGATGTGGTATACAATTTTTTTATTCCCTTTTATATAGTTACATTTTATTTATTAAAATATTATATTTTTGGATATATTGTTTCCCACGATTTGATTCGATTTATTTTATTTCTTTTCCTTTATGTACCTATATTATTAAGTTATATTTTTTTAGTTTTTTTTTTTTTGAAAAATATTGTTTCACCGTTTAAAATCCTATGTAATAAAGATGGAAAATACACTGAGAATCGAAGTTTTTATAAATTTATTTCAGCACAGTACATGGGGAAAAATGCACAGTGTAAGTTTTCAAACTTATTTTAAGATACATTATTCCGAAATCAAGATGAGTAAAATGAAATCATACGGGTAACACGGGTGAGTTCGAAGCATAGATTTTCGTCTGCAAATGGATTAATTTCAATGTCGAACATTGCATGTGACATATAATATAAGCAAAAGCGTAATGATGATAAATGATCTAAGGTGTCCTTTCATGGATAATTGTCCACCCACTGCTGTGCCAAGTTTAAAACGGAAAAAAAATCTCGTTTATATTCATTTTTAGATTGATTTAAATTGTTTTTGGTTTTTAAACATTTATCACTGTTTTTTTCTCAACTTCGCAGCAAATACAAAGTTGACTACACAAAAAATACACAAACAGTTTCGCCAACGAAAAAATAAGTATAAGAAATTCTAATTGATTTATCTTAGTCACTTTTTGATTGAGTTTGGGTAATTTTAGCATTTTCAGAGATTGTTTCTCAGAGCAATAAATGTTCTTTGAGAATGTCAGTGCAGAGTAAAATATTAAAAGTTGAAAAAAATGTCTGAAATCATAATATTACTAATTATTTAACATTATTTTCTCAATTTTTAATATTTTGCTCGCGTTTTCTCGTCACTGAAGAGCGCTCATCCTCACGTTTACATAGCTTCTTAGTTCTTACCAGGGGTCCGGGAAATTATACCTTTATAAATTGAGAAAAAATCTCTTTCGATTTGCTAGAGATTTTCACCAAAAAAATGAAGAGCAAAAGAAAACGGAAATAGAAATTACCCCTTTATAATTTTGAAATTTCTTTTTAATTAAAAGAATTTTAAAAGAAAACATTATTCCATTCAATTTATATGCGATTTAGATATGTAATGGGATTGTGCGTCAAACCGTTCATTTTTTCCAATTTCATTTTATTCTTTATTTGTATACGTATTTAAATATTTTCAATACAATTAAGTGGATAATAGCTTAGATTAGAATCACTGCGGCATAATTTAAAATAGATCTTTGAATGGCGCTAATCTTATAAAAAAAGTGTTAATAAAATAATAATTTAAATTTTCTCTGTGCCTTGTATTTATTCAAGTAGAAAAAAAATTAACATTTACATTATTCTTGAATAGACAATAATTTTATGTTTATAGTCCCATTTCGTGCTTATTTTGTTAGTGAAAAATTGTTATCGTCCGTAGTTTGCTCTATTCTGTGAAAAAGAGGAAAATAATTAATTTCTTACTGTTTCTAATGTATGTGTTAGATAGTAAGAATAAATGATATGCAAAAAATTACCCGAATATGTTGATCGGCCAAGTCGAGGTGTATAATTGAAAGTGTCTACTCGTGAGTCTGAACGTTTTCCCATTCTCGGTGTAAAGAAAACATCATATGGCTTAGGTTGTTCATCCGATTCGGATCTCCGACCCAACCGTGGCTTATAATCGACGCTCCGTTTATCTTGTATGATGCGAACTAAATAAAAAAAGTTCGAATTAATTCAAGCGCCCTTTGAATGTATTTATCACTTGAACTTACGCAAAAGCAGATACTGCAACAATGGTGAATTCTGCACTTTTTCCTTGTCGATTCCATGCAGCGTTGATAGGTTGAGTAATTCTTCATCCGAAACGATTTCATTTAGTAAACTGTCTAGTTCTTCGGTCGATCTTTTAATTCTGTAAAATAACATCGATTTAAAATATTTTTTTTTGTTAACTTTCTTTTTGAATTCACTCACTTGTGATTTAATTCTTCCGTTGCGCGAAAATTTTGAGTCTCCTATAAACGTGCACAAACAATGTACAAAAGAAATTACATTAAAATACTTTGAATAAATTGGCGTGAAAAACAAATAGCACACACCTTATTTAAATCAGCCGCCATCGCATCACAATAGAATACAAAACAAATCAATAAAATTGACGACGTACATAAAGTGGTTTTCATATTGTTCTCTTTTATTCTAAAAAACAGAAGCAAAATTCCTACAAACTCTTAAACTTTTAAAAGGACGACTTTAATCAATTTGTTTTTTTTTTTATTTAGACCGGTTCACTTTGTCTCAATTGAATTGAACTAAGCCGTGATCGAGACTTGAATGGGAGTAACTTGTGAAACGTTCATAATTTATAGTAAATTTCGAGATGGTCAACAAATATCTGCGATTGCGCGAAATCATAAATTGCTCTTGAATGAAAGGAAAAACGAAGAAGAAAATGTGTTGACGTCATGCTTCGATCGAAAGAAAAACAATGAATTTTCATCAGACAGCACGTTTAATTTATCATCCACACCATAAGACGACGTATTTGCTTTCAATTTCACCGAATCGCCTCCTACAACTGTCCTAAGTTATTTTTTTATAGTTATCATTGCCTCATTGTTGTCATGTTTGGATAATAATTATCAGAGGCTGTTTCTCAGAGATTTTTCGATTTTTTTTTCAACTTTTAATATTATGATCCTTACTGACGAGGAGATTTGCTCCTCACAGCTCATCTGGCTATACAAAGCGTTCTTCTCCACATTTATTGCTTTGAGTAACATCGTCTGGTAGTTATTTATCTTGTAACACGTAAAAGCACCAGTGACAGCGAAACAATAGGAGGAAATGACTGCGAATTTTAAAATTGGTGCGCTGTTTAGTATCGATTTGAGTTGTTAAATTACATTGACGTCCCCTTTGAAATTGGTGGCGCCACCGTCGGCTCAATGAGACTTGAAGTCTTCACATCCTGTCATTGCAGCGAAATAATAAAGAGGAAATCAAATATTTCAATGTTGATTCTTCGCGGAAATGTGTGGTGATATATACGATAAAAAAAGGATGACGAATGTTGTGATGCACCATATGACATTTCAATATTAACGTCACTCGTCGTATTGGAATCAATTGAATACAGTGTGAGCTCATCACTAGAGAAATTATATAAGACGATTATTTATAATGGAAGTGGAACACATGAAAATACACACATGACCACAACTTCAATGCAACATGTGCAGGAATGTATATTACGATCGGTTGAAGCAATACAAGCGGAATAATAAACGCAGTCAACCAATAAATATAAAAAGTTCACAACTTGAAAAGAACAAAGAGCCATCGAGACGAACATCATTCTTGACACAAACTCAGAGACTGTTTCTCAAAGCAAAATATTAAAAAACACAGAGTCTTACGGGAGTAAGATGAACTTTTCCGCACGGTGGTAGTTGCGTTTTTTAAATTTGCAAATTCAAAATAATATTTGTTCGATTTTTCAAGCCTTTCAAGCGGCGTAAAGTTCGAGACCAAAAAATATGTTCAAACCTTGGCATCGAAATATTCTTTAATTTAATAGCAGAAGTACTCGAGAAAAGATTTTTCACACTTTCATGATGAACCCATTTGTACGACATTTGAAAGTATTCTATTTTCTAACAAAACACTATAAAAAAATAGGTTTGACGTTAATTTTGCCATAAAAATTATTTTTGAAACACTTTTCATAACTAAAGTCACAAAAAATTTGGATCTTTGTATGGGAGCTATATCTGTATGCTATCTGGTGTGAAACTTCGCACAGGTTTTTTTTTTCACTGAAAATTTTGTATGGGAGGTAACCCTAGGGGCTTAATTCAAAATTTTCAACGACTGAATTCAATAATAATATCTAAATTAACTGAATTTTTCTGCAAACGAATGAATTCCGGAGAATTGTACGGCGATTTCATTCAAATATGTGAGATAGTGGTGAATGGTTTCTGCTGGCAATTACTTCAATATTTATATTTTGTGTAACAAAATTGTAAATGTTTTTTATATTTTTTTAATAAAAATTAATTTTATTTTCAATTTTGAGCGATTTTCTATCGAAAACAATCGGAAATATTGAAAAAATAATAAATTAAAAAATATTGCGGTTATCATAACCTCACTTTATTAATTTGACACATTTCATTCTTTTCACACGAATTGACCGAACTCATCAATAACCACTCGATTCAAAAGTGTGACTTTACGTGAATTCCTGTGAATTTTTTGCCGTATTAAGCCCCTAGAGGTAGCCCTAATTTTGATTGAAATTTCTTCAAACTTCTAGAATGTTATTTTTTTGTGTAAAAAATAGTCTGTGCAAAGTTTCACGTCATTAAGGTACAGGCATGGATCCCGTTCGAACAATTGGCGCCTTTTGAAAGGCGCACGCACCATTTCTGCGCCTTTTAATGAAATGACGAGAAAAAGAATAAACAACACATCGTATATATATATATATATAGGTGGTTCGACTATAGTTATAAGTTATGGAAAAATATGTAAGATCTACGAACATGACGTTTTTTTTGACTTAATAGATGTCGCAGACCTAGCGCCTTGAGGGGTCCATTTTTTGAAATTTGACCAAAAATTTTCAATTCATTTTAAAAACATTTTTTCTGGTTCGTAACGCTGATAAGTGAAATAGACCACCAAAAGCCATTAAAGAGCTCCCGGACTTAGTTCTACCTGAAAATTGGGTCCGAACATGACTGAACATTTTTCAAAAAATGGCCCAACAAAACAAAATTTCAACTCATTATTGAGGTGGTCTTGATTTTACTGAAATTGTCCGACTCACTCTGTAATCTTTTGAGAATGTCGAATAGAGATTATCTGTGTGTTATGTTTGATCAATACTTTCGATTCTACATGCCCGCCCTACTCAAGACTTTTACAACAAATGTCGAAAATAACCAATTTTTTTAAATTTGCCTGTGCACCAAAACGTAATTTTGTCTACAATATTCCATGTTTTCGTGCTGAAATATTCTGATCAGGGCATATGCATTTTAGAAGGGAAAAGCGATTCCCACTCAAAGAATGTTGTTCATATCGAACCATTTGAAAGTCTACATTTTTCAGTTTTTTCAACCGATTTGTTTTCCAAGATATAGGAACTTTTCTTTGAGTGTACATCGTCTTTTCCTTCTAGAATACATCTGTCATATCCTAATAGATTTGTTCCCGGAACAAAATAATTCGGACTCAAGGAATCCAATGGGGGCAATCTTTTTGAGAAATACTACACCTTGAAATGATATTTTGAGGGCTTTATTCAATTGAAGAATAAATTAAAACATTGGTACAATTAGTTTTGAATAGATTTGGTATACATACTACAAGTTCACCGTAGAAATTTCTCCTTTTGTTTCAAAATTTTACAAAAACAATTAGAAAATGCAAAAAAAAAAATCGAGATCAAATAGGTAAAAACAAATGATAGGTATGGCAGAAAGCTAAAAAAAAATGGCGTGGATTAATATAAATATTTTTGATTTCCAATGTGAAAAATATAAAAAATATGAATACAATAAAAGAATATATAAAATTAGGGCGAGCGTGGCGAGCCAAAATTTTTTGTAGATTTCAAACAGAAAATTTAAATTTAATGCTAAAACAAATGATATAAGTAAATAACACTTCTTTGGAAGTTCTCACTGTGACGCAATACTGCACATCAAATCTGAAAATGATCTGATATAAATTTTCAGTGACGCTTGCAATCAAATACACAAACAATTTTTATATTGCGTTGCCTTATTCCAGGCCGAAGCTTTCTTTTAACAAAGCCAGCTCTGCCACAGCTGCTTGGACTGCTTTTTCGCAGTGTCGAATTGCCATGAGTGAGCTGGCTGGCAAGGGGTGGGGCTAAGGAACTGGTGCTGCAGCTGGACCTGCAGCTGGAGCTTCGGCTGGAGCCTGAACGTCTGGATCTTCTATATTTGAATAAAATCATAAATGTGATTTATTTTGAAAAATCATGTATTGATAAAAATGGGCACCGTTTATGTATTGAGAATAACAAACACAGATAAATATTTATTATTGAAAATGGCCTTTAGAGTGGCCGCGGAAATCAACTTCATCATATAAAAATTCACAGACAAAAGTACAAAATTACATGAAATGTAAATACAGGGGGAGGAAAAATTTTTAAGCCTAGAATATAAAGAGAAGTGTTTTCAAATCATTCTTGTGCTGTAATTGAAGTATGAACTGTCAACAGTATTTCCACAAAAAATTTGGTTCATATCTCTCTTAGCCCAGAGAACCATACGTGACGTACCTTTCCAACAAATGTCTGTAATTTTTGTAACGCAAACATGCACATTCAGAGAACAAAATACATTCGATTTTTTTTAATTTGTGTCGATATGGTCAAATAATAGACAAATACCCTCTGCTTTGTGCTTTATTTGTGTGTTTTTTGTGGTTTCTTAAGCCGTCCAAGAGAATGTAGTCCAAATTGCGCTTTCTTTAATTTCGACAATTCTTGCTGTTTTCAACAAAGTTCGGCTATCTACGGGGAGAAAGGTCATTCCATTTGACAATAAAACTTTTAGCAATGCAGTTACAGCTCTTCTTTTCACATTATAATCTATGGCCCATGATCTAATTGCGGCTGTAAATTCATCCTTCGATTCTGTGTAGCTCTTTCTACGTTGGTTGGTAAAAAGTCTACTTTGTTGCTTTGATTCATGGTCTAGCTGGTTCTGTTGAATACATTCTGTAATATTTCGCTCATTTTTCAAAATTGCTTGCATTCCACGATAAATCTGTACTCGATTTCAAGTCTGTTCACGCACTTTCTCTTTATTCAATTTTATTACTTTAGTCATTTTATTACTTCAGTCACTAGTTTTGAATTTCAATTTATATACTTTACCATATGGTCATTGGTCATATATATGACACTCATAACAATATTGGCTAAAAATGTGTTGAGTCGAGGTAGAGTGTCGAGGACGAGAAACAGTATATCTCGAGTTCGCAATGATACTAATTAAAATGGTTCGTAAATTGAATCAAGGATATAGAAATCTGTAATCAATTCAAGTGAAAAATAAAATATTTTCCCTGTTTTATTTTTTTATTCCGTTTAATTCAATCAAGAAATTAGGCATTAAAAAAAATTGTATGGTAATTTCAAGTGGTGAAAAGTTGAGAAAGTGAGAGAGCACAAAGCACATACATAATTCACGAAAAGATATTGACCGATATTTGAAATTGATTTGTGAAAATTTAATCGGAGATGCAACGCAATAAATTAATTTCATGTCAACAATTCAAATTCAATTTTTTTTACCCTGGTTAAGTCGAAGAACTGTAAGTAAATAGACGAATATTGTCATAGTGGATTCACTTTGAAAAAAATTTGCAACAAATCTCAGAATTAATATCGTTGAAAAAAAATCTTCACGCTGAATTCTTTTGTGTGAGATTTTTAACAAAACGATGATAGCAAAAAAAAAATGATGAACACAATTGATGAATCGTCGAAGGAAAAACCATTATCACCCATGGTTTTCACAATTGTTTTCAGACATTATAATGAGATATTTTCAGCCAGATGAATCAGCTCAGCCAGATATCGTCAGGAGCTGAAATTGAGTGGACACAATAGAAGTGATTGTTATGGTTATAATTACACTTACATTGCTATAATCACTATAACAATCACTTTTATTGTTTTCACTCCATTTCAGCTTCTGACGATATCTGGCTGAGCTGATTCATCTGGCTGAAAATATCTCTTTATAATGTCTGATTGTTTTATGTGATTTGCAATACTTCGTTTGATGGAAAGTTATCGATACTTACATTTTATATGTGTCTATGATTTGATGTGAATTCAGAGGAAATCTTTCCAATGTGTAACAGTTGTTGTTTGTGGTAGAATTACTTTACACGCAATCGAAACTTAATTGAATTTTTTCTCTCTATAAAACTACGCGCGGTCGAGCATGCAAACGAAAAGATATTGCCTATAAAAAATATGTAAAGATATTGCCTATAGGATATCTGTTTACATCAAAACGTGTACCACGAGTTATTAACAATAAAATATGTGCAGTTAATGTGGTGTAATTTCGAATGGGTGAATGAAAAGTATGAAAAGAATCGTCTATCTAATTGCATCACATGCATGGACCGCAAAAAAGGCTTTAAATTTGATTTGTATGTTTATCTTCAACCAAAGATTGGCTCCATTTTTCATGCGTTTTTGCACTGTTTTTTATTTTATATTTGCAGAAAATGGGCCGTGATTGCGATCCAAAAAAATCCTCTAAGCTAATGTGGACCGGAAAAACGAAGAAGACCGCCAACGGCAAAACGCGGAAGATCTTCAGAGAGCAGCTAGAGCTGCCCAGGAAGCAACTGCTCGAGAAAGACAAGAACATTTGCAAAGAAATAGGGCGGAAATCAAAGATCGCGTAAATAAATGGGAGAAACAAAATGATAAATAGTCATCAGTACTCGCTAACGCATCTATTGCTGTGAGAATTTTTTTTGTTAGAAAATACCAGAAAATACAATATTTTTACTTTTTTCAAGTAATAAAAACGCTTTACACTTGTAAAAACAACTTTTCCGCAGCGTAAGCCAAATATTATTTATTTTTTATTTTTGAATCACACTCGTATAAAATGCTTTCAGAACTGTTTTGTTTCTTGTTTCGGTTAGAGATCTTTATTGTTTGATGTGTATGAATGTGTACGCTGTATATACTAATGCTTCGTTTGAACGACTAAATCTAGTTAGCTCTGTATACATACCTAATACATACACATGTGTAATCGATATTTTGCTTGATATATAATCAAGCTTTAGAATCGTTTTCGGTTTACTTGTTTGTTTGTTTGTTTGTACCACGCATAACTCAATTAAGGTATCAACTATCAACTTGAAACCCTTTTTTTCAGATTACTGAGACCAATCCACGAAAACTATATTTTTCTTTTTGGAAAATTCGTCAATTTTTCTTGTAAATGAGGCTTTTCCTAAGAATTTGTATGGGAACTTCAAGACAACTTGATTTGTACTTTGTAGCTCGAGTTCAAATCCTACGATTTTGATTAAAATCTCTCAGTTTGTAGGTCTGCAGATGCCCTTTCGAAAAAACACAAACAGAATACTCGATCGACCTTGTGAATAGTAGCTCTAATACAGCGAC